TTTGCAACGTATTGTATACTTATTAAAAGTTTTGTTGCAGCAAATAGGAGGAAAGTGTTGACTTCACCTACCAAGATAGATTACATAATATCCTAACAAACAAATTTCTTTGATTAATTATATAAAGAGACTATTTTACCTATGATTTTTAAATATTCACTCCCAAGTTCAAACGACAAATCCAATCTGTTCGCTTGCTTTTGATAAGCCTAGCGAAGATATACCTTTTAACAGTTTGGGTGATTATTTACTTTCTTTAATTCAATTGTTTCGTTTTCTTTCATAATCATTGATTCAAAGCAGACAAAGATCGTTTTGTCAACGTTAAGTTTCGCCAACTGGACCACTATACTCATTTATATGATTTGATCAAATAACATCATTTTCATTTTTACATAACCAAAACATTGGCCATTTCTACTTTAATATATTTATCCGGAACCAAATTACTTTAGTCAATTTTTTACACTAATCCATTTGACACTGATAGTGTTTTTGAGTTTGTTTTGTATATAAAGAGAGATGGAGACATGTGATATCATATCTTGGTACTCCTTTTTTCTTCTAAGTTGGTCGTGTAGGTTAAAGTTCATATACTATTCACGTAATCCCGCAGCCCTCATGCGAATTAAATGATTAATGAAAATGTGTAACGAGAGAGTGAATTTAGAAGAGCTGATACGAAATAAGTAACAAAAAACTATATATTAATATTGGAATTTTGCTAAAAGCCTTAAACATTGGAATATTTTGGTGAAAGCATAAACACTGTCAAGAATTCGGTTTCCTTGCAAAGATCATTTGTCAACGTCTTAAATAATTTCTATTAAGTAAGGTATTGTAAAGATTGTTTACGGCGAGTTTTTTTGTTGTTGAATAGATGCGTTTATAAATGACAACGAAAATTGTTTGTGTGCTTTTATTAGCAGACGAAAACCACTTTGTTAAAGTATCTAATACTGTGTTTAAGAAAAACATACGTATTATACTAACCATCTTAATTATTACCATAGCAAAAAATTCCTTGTGATTGCAATTTTGTCAATAGCTATATTTTATTAGGTGTTATAGACTTTCTCCATAGAGACAAAATAGAAGAAGAGAGCAAAAGATATTTGAAAGCAAAAACAATCAAAGATTCCTTCTTCTCTCTTTGTCTCAAATCTTAATTAAATACTTTAGTTTAAACCAAGTGACTTGGGTTACAACTAATCATCCTTGCTTACATATTCCTCCAGACTTTTCTCATGACTCCTTCCTAAGATGGGAATTTTGCAAAAATGACCCATAAATTCAAGTCAATAGCTAAACTAACCTCCTATTTTACCACTTTTGAAATTAATTACTTTATTTCACTTATATCCTTATCAGTTCTATTTATTTACGAAAATGCCATTAGATTATTGTTTTTTATTATTATTTCGGAAATCTATTTTACCAAACAATCCTCATCTTCCTCACTTATTCATGAAAATGTCATCACCATCAATTCATTCAACCACCATTTTCAACCAATTTGAAGCTTTTATTGCTTCAAAGACCCATTTTTTAACTTTGTAACCTCATTTCCTCTTCTCTTAACCTTCTACTCTTCCATTTTTTCACCATTTTCAGCACAAAAACTCTCTAATCTAAATTTTTGAAACTTGATGTTTTAATATATTGTCATATGTGGTGATTTGGTCTGGCAAATCGTTTGAGCTTGTTTGGTGGTGGCTGGAATCAAAGAAATCGGTGGTTAAATAAGTTAAATACCACTGGTAGGTGATTTTTCAGTCAATTTTCGTGAGTTTTCAGATCTGTGCCGCGAAAGTAGACTTCAAAAAAAGTCTGCTGGTCAACACACATGTTAGTTTTGCAACTGACCGGGTGTACCAATTTCTGACAATAGACTTCAGTTGAAGTTTGTGCCATTTCCTTTGACAACAAAAAAAATAGTGTAAACTTCAAAAGAAGTCTACGCAAAAAGGGGTTAGTTTTGCAATTGACCAACCTTTGACTTTTTCGTAAGAAGTCTACTCGCAAAAGTAGACTTCTTCGGAGAAGTCTACTTTGAACTTAGACTTCTTTGAGGTTAGTTTTGCAATTGACCAATGTTGACTTTTTCGAGTAGACTTCGCTTGAAGTCTACTTTTCCGAGTAGACTTCGTTTGAAGTCTACTCAGAAAGTAGACTTCAAAAAAAGTCTACTCAAAAATAAATTCAATGTTTGGTCAACCCCAAAACTAACCCAAGTAGACTTCGTTTGAAGTCTACTTTTGAAGTAGACTTCAAACGAAGTCTACTTTGAAAAGTCAACATTGGTCAATTGCAAGTAGACTTCTTACGAAAAAGTCAAAGTTTTGTCAATTGCAAAACTAACCTTTTTTTACGTAGACTTCTCAAGTAGACTTCTTGAAGTGAGTAGACTTCTTTGAAGAAGTCTACTCATCTTTTGACAATTGCAAAAGTAACCTAAAATATAGACTTCATACGAAGTCTACATTTTAGACTTCATTGCAAGTCTACTTTTGTAAACTTCGTTGTTAGTCCACTATTTCACTTTTTTTTATAAACGCGTTTTTATCAAATTTACAACAAATTATTAAGATTTTTTTGGTCTTACGATTGTTTTAGTAAGTGTACTTATATTTGTATCAGTTTTACATGTTTATATTATATATATATATATTTGGTGAAATGAAGTTTCTTGTTATATTTGGTATTTAGCTTATTAGTCCGTAGACTTCGTTTGCAGTCTGCGATATTTTTTTAATTAAATTAATTGATCAGATATTTGTAACAAATAAAATTTATTCTTTGACTCTTAAGTGTGTATTATTTATTGTTCTTACTTATGTAGGAGTTTGACATGTTTATCTGTTATAGTTTAGCTTTAATTAATTTTCTTGTTCTAATTGGTATTTAGCTTATTAGTCTGTATACTTCACTTGAAGTCTACATAGTAGACTTTGTTTGCAGTCTGCGACATTAATTTTTTATAAATTTAATTGATCAGATATTTGTAACAAATAAAATTTATTATTTGACTCTTAAGTGTGTGATATTTCTTGTTCTTGCTTATGTATGAGTTTGATTTTTTTTTTGTTACAATTTAGCTTTAACTAATTTTCTTCTTTTATTTTGTATTTAGCTTAATAGTCTGCAGACTTCATTTGAAGTCTACATAGTAGACTACGTTTGCAGTCTACTTTTTTGACAATGATTTCTAATGTGGTTTGAATTTTGTTTTCTTACGGAGAATGGTTCACATACCCACTGTTTATTGAGAATGTGTGAAGAAAGACTAATTGTGGTATTTCTAAGTAGTTTACATGTTTTTTTTTGTTATGAGTTTTACATGTTTTTGTATAGTTAAATTGAATTAATTTTCTTGTGTTATTAGAGGTTCAATGATGATGATAACTAAGTCTGACAAAGAAGTCTGCATATAAAATCTGAATATTATAAAAACACACATAATTTAAGAATATATAAAAATAACATTAATTGCAATCCAACTTTACATATAAAGTAGACCTTCTAATCAAACAAACATTTAATGATCACTAATTATAAATCTTAAAATTAGCATATAAAAACAAAATGTCTGAAATAGATGTATGTGACTCAAGTCTGCTCAAGAAGTCTGCTCGAGAAGTCTACTCGAGAAATCTGCAGCTGAAGTCTGCTTCCAACAAAAACAAAAGATAAATAAATAAGCTCAGGTCTGCATAATAAGAAAAAAAAATGTTAAAATTCATATTTCAACAAAATATGCTATATTTACAAATATCATATCTGCAGCAAAAGGGAAAAAAAGAAATCAGCTATGCAACAAAAAAAATTATAGATCTGCAACAAAATAAACAAAATTCAGATCTGCAACAAAATAAAAAAAATCAGATCTGCAACAACTAAAAATTCAGATCTACAAAAAAAAAAAAAATCAGATCTGCAACAACAAAAAAATCAGATCAGCAACAAATTCTACAAAATTTATACCATAAGAACCGCATATTTACAAGAATAAACTCAGATCTACAACAAGAAGCTCAAATATGTAATAATAAACTCAGATTTACAATATGAACACAAAACAAAAAACAAAAGAAATACAAAATAATTGAGATAGAGAGGATGGAGGATAGAGATGGGTTTGATGGCAAGAGAAGAAGGAGAAGAGATTCATGGCCAGAGAGGAGGTAGAGGAGAGAGAGGCGTTTTTTAGAGGGAGAGAAAAATTTTATTTTTAACCTAATTAGGTTAATCTCCTTATATATGTAGGAAAATTTTCGGTCCAGTAAGTCTACTCGAAAAGTCTACTTCGGTATATTTTTTCGATTTCGATTCCTGTCTAATTTGTTCCGATTCCCGTCCAATTTGTTAAATAATTTTGATTTCCCGCTATGTTTTTCTTAAGTCTAATGGAGAAGTCTACCCGAGAAGTCTACTGCATACGTATGTTTTCTGTAGTAGACTTCTTTAGTAGACTTCTAAGGGGTTGTATGTTTTCTAGTTAATTTTCTTTCTGTATTTAAGTTGATTAATTTGTATGAAATTTTATATTCTATACATGTCAAATATATATGTTTTACTTATGTTTACCAATTTTTTAGAAATTTATTTATTTTATATTTTCTAATTAATTTTTAAAAAAGTAATTATGTAGTAGACTTCTTTTGAAGTCTACAACGATTGTAGACTTCTTACGTAGACTTCTCGAAGGATAAAATCGTAACTGTGGTAAACGTTTTTTGTTTAGTCACAAAGGACTGAGTTGTAATTTCACTACTTCTTTGGATTAATTTTGCCAAACATTCAATAAGGAATCTACATATTGAGAAAAAAACAATTTTTAGGTTATAAAGAGGAATTTCCCTCCTAAGATACCTTCTATACGTACACATATGCTCACAATATACACGTGTGTACATGCAATTTCATTGGAGTCTGCATCGGTATAGATTTATATATGTCCTGTGTCTTCATTATACTACGCAGCCCCATTTGGCCATTTCCTAAAACTAATTAAAAGTCCCTAGACTTTATGAATTTCTTGTTTAATTAAAACGTTATTTCTGCGTTTGCGTTTACATGAGGAAAAAAAAAAACGAATAATGGTCTTTCTATCTATGCTTATCAAATAAATGTCTCTTTACCCAAAGGTCTATGCTCATATATAACCTCTATGTCTGTCTCTATCTCTATCTCTTTCATTCATCATTTACACATGGTTTCTCTTAATTAGGACAGCTAAAGAGAGAACGAAAGATATGGGGAAGATGACCAAATCTGGAGAGAGACCAAAACAGAGACAGAGGAAAGGGTTATGGTCACCTGAAGAAGACCACAAGCTCAAGAGCTTCATCCTCTCTCAGGGCCATCCTTGCTGGACCACTGTTCCCATCCTAGCTGGTCTTTTTCTTCTTATTTCCTATTTTTTTTTGTCTCTAAAATCCTTTATTAGACTCTTAATCCTCATCAGTATTGTTAATCTGATCATCACAATTAATTAATTTTATTATGTTGACAGGATTGCAAAGGAATGGGAAAAGCTGCCGCTTGAGGTGGATTAACTACCTAAGACCAGGATTAAAGAGAGGAACGTTTAGTGAAGAAGAAGAAAACACCATCTTGACTTTACATTCTTCTTTGGGTAACAAGTAAGAATAAAACCCTAATGAAAATCCTTTTTCTTTTTTATCGTCTACAAGCCATTAAATTACAAGTTCCGGTTCTAATTAATGATAAACCTTTTAATTAGTAGACTTTTCATTTAATTTTATGATTTGGGTATGAATAGGTGGTCACGGATTGCGAAATATTTACCAGGAAGAACGGATAACGAGATTAAAAACTATTGGCACTCCTACTTGAAGAAGAGATGGCTCAAATCTCAATCACAACTCAATACTCAGAGATCAGATCACCTCACAGAATCTTCTTCTTCACTAATTTCTTGCGGGAAAAGAAACCTGGAAACCGAAACCCTAGATCACGTGATCTCCTTCCAGGAATGTCAACAGAAACCATCTTCATCACCAGTACAAGAAAGCAACAGAAGCATGATGATGGACAACAGCAACAGCTTGCCTAAACTGTTTTTCTCCGAGTGGATGAGTTCTTCAGACTCACACATCGACTACTCCTCTGCTTTTACAGATTGTAAGCACATTAATCAAACACAAGATCAAATCGATGATGAAGAACAGATGATGATCAATAACAACTACTCTTCACTTGAGGATGCCATGCTCCGTACAGAGTTTTTGCAGCCTAATCATGAGTATGCAAATTATTATTCTTCCGGGGATTTCTTCATTAACAGCGACGTAACTTACCTCTAAAAGAAACGTAAATCAAGAACAGTGGATATGGTTGTAAAGAGGGACATAAACAAGTTACGTGCGCTACAATTTACAAAAATCTGTTTTTTTAGATTATTTTGTGAGAAGCTTGTATTTTTATTTGAAACTGGTTTTAGTTATTTATTTTTCATGACAATCTGTATATATACAGGTAGAATAATTATTTGTACGTTCAGTGTTATGTATTTGGTTTACGTGGTAGTCTTTGCCTGTCTTCTTCTTTCTCCAAGAGTTCACTATTGTCGTAGACTTGAACAACATTTCAAAGTCAAATTATTTTAACGAGCTGCTATAATATTTATATGACCAAGAACTTTCATATATAAACTCTTCCTCTTCTTTTAATTAAAAACAAAATATTACTTGATCATATCATGGTTGAAATTAAATAATCATCTGTCATAATCAAGCTTGCTTTGAAAAGAACAAGAATAACGAGAATAATGATCGTCACTGGTGTCCATTTTAATGCAATATCCTGCAAAATTTGGTAGTAAAATAAAGTAAAAACATATTTCTTGTTGTTTTGTTTTAAAAGTAAAACAAGTTATCTGTATTAACAAAGCCACAAATTCAATACTTCGAATTGGAGAAGGATGAAAACTTTAGTCGTAATTTGATGAAATATGATCTGAGAATTTTTTTTATATACCTGAAGACATCTTGAGCTCCAAATGGTTGAAACAGACAGTGGAGCATCCAAATTCGCAATTTTTGATGTTTCTTCTAATACAAAAAGAAAAAACAAAACTAAGTTTTGAATTGGAAAAAGTTCAAATTTCCCGGGGAAAAAGTTAAGAACAAGCTACCTAAAAGTTGTCGTCTTTGAATTAAATCATTCAAATGCTCAGTGACTACATCAAGTTCTTGTTTCCGCGAAGCATTCAGCTTCGATAGATTAGCCTGTGTTCTCGTATCCATATATTTCTTCCTTATTCTCCCTATGATCTTACCAAAGCTAACGAAGCTATAAGGTTTTGAGATCGTCTGGATCAGAGATGTCTCGTCGAAATTATCAAGTTCCTTCTGAAGATCCTGCAGGTAATGAAAAAGTAGCTTTCTTGGGTACGAAGAATCAGATAGCGCGATATAACATATCTTCTTCTCCACCAGAAAGCTTCACAGTTCCAGAACATGAGAGATAAATAATGAGTAAACTGAAAATTAAAGAAATTAAAAAACGTAGACAATTAGTAATTAATATGAAAGGATACTGGAAAGAATGATGATCGATCAAGATGGTCATCTTTGGATGTAACAATGAGTCTTTGGAGATTTGTTTGAGAAGTAACTCGGCTTGTTGCTTGTAGAACAAGAAACTGGTGTTGTCTTGTTGGTTTACGTAGGTTTGATCTTGTGCAAGAGGCAATCCATCTTCAACCCTACCAACTATAGTTAGCTTCACCATTATTGTTTCTTCGAAAATTCAGAACAATCTTATGTTGATAAGGCATATATATAGACTATACGTTAGAGAAAAAGAGGAGAAAGATTGAAGATGAAGATATTCCATTTGGGTATGCAAAGAAACATAAGGTGGTGATGGGAAGTTAACGAATGAAGACTTTTGGGAGCGAAACTGAAATTAAAGAAAGATTTGGAATTTCTTGTTTATAAACACAACCTAAGAGGAAAGAATATTAGTTTTCCTTGTGCAACGGATTTTTTCTTCCTGTAAAGTAGAAACGTGACTAGTTTTACCAAATTTTGGCTCAATCAGTTTGAGTGTTTTTACATTTTCGGTTTCTAAAGATTTCATATGAATTCGAAAAATATTTTCGGTTTTAAAGATTTGGTTATCAGTTGTATTTAGTTTAGTTTCGGATCCAAGATCAGTTAATCCAGATTCAACACCAAATCTTGTTTGGAATGATCTTACAAATTAATGTTTCACACCCTTATTAGCAAACATTTCACGGATGAAAACACGAGATTATGTTTAAAAATCAACAAGCTAGGAGAGCAGATCGAGTAGCTGAGTAGCTATCGTTATCTTCGTCAGAGGAAGGAGGGGTCTTAGCAAAAACAGTGAGTACAACAAAAAGACCAAAGATAATTGTGATCAAAGCCATGATGTTGACTAGAAACGCTTCTGATCCGTACCTATCAAGCCCTGAATTTTCCATGAGAGTAACTTTTTCAACAAACCCTAAAGCTGAGTTTCCAATAGCAAGAACAAAGATAAAGAGGCCAGTAGAAACGTGCAACGGAAGCATGTGGCTTCTCTCAGCTTCCGTTACTCTATGGTAAAAGAATATTACATAGCTATACTTCAACTGCAAAGTTAAAAAAAACCTTTTCCATCAACAACGTAAAAACTTCATATACTTTTGATTCAAAAATTCTTTTTTTTATATATAAGGAATTAGTTACCTGGCTGATGTAAAGACAAATGACTACAAAACCAATCCAAGAATGGAGGCTATAGAAATTTGGGATGTTTAATTCGTTGTGGTTCTTGGCGGCAGTAATGATTCCAAAGATTCCAAGAATGAGAGCAATTAGGTGGAGTGCAAAGTGGATCTTTTTCTTCACTTGTCTCTCAAATGGAAGCGATTTGTAACTTATAATTGCTGTTTGATTTCAACAAAAAAAAAATTGATCAAAACGCAAACGCAGTTTAGAATATTTTAAGTATTAAAAATATTAATGGAAGTCTAATTTGTTGTTTTATTTAGTTTGAATTTTCTTATTGTGTTGTTACTTTCGCCTCCCAGAATTACAAAACCGATGAGCATCAAAACTGGATGAAGCTAGATAAAGGTAAATAATCAACAATTAAGACAAAAAACCTCGTAAAATACATTAAGATAAGCATCATGATACACACACATACATTCATAAATAATGAGGATCAATCATTACAAGAAAGAATTAAGCTCATTTGGAGTCCAATTGTGAGAAAATTTAAGTGAAAGCAATGCAATTTGCCATGCTATGTGGACCTTTGGAGTTTTATAAGAATGAAGATCGCATGTTTTAAATGGTATTAGCAGAATAGTAAAATAGCTGAATATTAAATTAGTAGAATCAATAGAATGGATAAACTGAAAACTGAATAATTTTAAAACACTAAAAATTTAATATCTATTAGATGAATATATTTTTTTCTAAACTAATTATAAATTTAAAACATGCAAAATAACTTGAAAAATAGTATACTAGTTTTCACTTTTGCTTTTATCATTCAATGCTTAATGTTGTGAATGGTATACATTTAATGAAATCACATTTTTAAAACGTGAAAAGCAGCATACGATTTAACCCCTAAATAAATTGTTAGCGAGTAAGGTTTATGGAAAGAAATGCTTTTGTAATATCGTTTTTTGTAGACATATGCATGTCTATGACTTTGTATAATGTTTATAGGTAGTCGGGGTTTCAGATTTATAAAGATACATGCTAAAAGAAAATTAAGAAAGACGATTAGTAGCTTCCATCTACAATCTAAATTAATTTAGTCGGCTAAGACGATGCAAAATCCAAGGCAAAGTCGTCAACGCAGATGTGAAACACATTAAAGAAAAAACGAGAAAGCAAATGTTTGATGCCAAAGAAAACACAATCGAAAGAGAAAATTTGAGAGAGAGAGAGAGAGAGAGAGAGAGAGAGAGAGAGAGAGAGAAGAGTACTTTACATTGAAGATAAGGCTCTTGTTGGTAGATTCCCAGGCAAATCCACCTCTGTAACTGATTGACCAAGAAAGCACCATTACCGAAACGACAATGGCAAGCGCATGTGACACAAACGCCAAATCCTAGCGTTTAAAACGTTAGCCATTTTTTTTCTTTTCTTTCTCGATGTCTGAGGAATCTTGGAACGAAAAAAGCAATAAGAATCTCAATCCTCTTGAAAGTCTAATGGAAATCAACGAGGTAAACAAAATTCATAGATCCTCGCCGTCTGTTATTTATTATGCAACTGCGTGAGATCGTGACCATTGGATGAAATTCTACGAGGTACGACAAACTCCACTCTGTCGTGCCAACAAGTAAATGGATGGAGAATTTACGAGCATAGTACTACGATTTTTTTTTTTTTAAAACTAGATTTTGCTACTATGATTCTTTTTGGTTCAAAATCCCATGCTATGTGAAAAATAATATATAAAAAAAACTTGAAGAAGTCATACAGCTAAATATCTATATGAAAACAATAATAATAATTTTTCTCCAATAATCTATCACAGTTTGACTAACAATTTGTCAACTAACGTCGAGAAGAAAACGATACCAACTGAAACCGTAAATACCCTTTATTTTAGTTTATTATCCTCTCGATTAGTAGGGTAAGATATTACGAATATTACTTCAATGCATAAGGAAAACATTAATGTGAAATAAACTAAATTTTCAACACCATTACAATATTACCAAAACGAGCGAGGAATCACGCTCACGGCAACAAATAAGTCACACCATTATATTCTACCAAATTTCTCACGGATAAAACCACGACATAGGGTTTAAATCAAACAAATTAAGAAAGCAAGAAATTCAAAGGGAAGAAGATTGACGAGGTCATATAGCTGAATAGCTATGACTATCGTCATCAGATGAATGAGGAGACTTGGAGGAAACAATGAGTAGCACAAAAGTACCAAAAAGAATTGTGATAATAGCCATGAAGTTGACAAGAAACGCTTCTGATCCAAATTTGTCAAGCCCTGACTTTTCCAAGAAAGTAAGCTTTTCAAGAAACCCTAAAACCGAGTTTCCAACTGCAAGAACATAAACAAAGACGCCGAGAAAAACATGCCACGGAAGAGATTTGCTTCTGAGAGTTGACGATATTCTTGGATACAAGAAGACTATAACGCTGTAAATCCACTGCAAAATTTGAAAAAGCCTTCCATCAACAAACTTCGTTTACTTGGATTCAAAAGATTCGTTCTTGTTTTAATAATTCTTTCTTTAGATAACCTGGAGTGGATAAAGGACAATGATACCAATACCAATCCAAGAATGGATGGTGTAGAGATTTGGAATGTGTTTCTCGTTATGATGCTTGAAAGCAGCATAGATTCCCCAGATTCCAAGAATTATAGCAATTGCGTGGAGAACAAGGTGTATCCATTTCTTCACTCGCTTCTCAAGTGGAAGCGATTTGTAACTTATTATTCCTTTTTTTATATTTAAAAAACGCAATTTTTAGACTGCATAAAAGAAAAAATATCATCATATATTTTTTTTCCAATTTTCTTATTGTTTTGTTACCTTCACCTCCCAGAATTACTAAGCCGATGAGCGTCAAAACAGGATGAAGCTAGATAAAGACGGTTGGAAAAAAAAAATCAAAAAATAGTAACGAATGAAAATGAATTATAGTATTAACTTTGAGAAAAACATGCCACGGAAGCATCACAATTAAGAAAGACAAATGTTATGTGTCAATGGAAACAAAACAAAGAGATCGAGCTTTGAGAACTTAATAAGAGAAGAGTTTTACATTAAAGATGAGAGTTTTGTTTGTAGTTTCCCACGCAAATCCTCCTCTGTAACTGATTGACCAAACGAACATCATCACCGACATGACAATAGCGAGAGCGTGTACCACAAACGCTACCATCCTCGCGTTTATTACGACAGACATGTTTTTGGTTTTTATTTAATCTTCAGATGATGTCTGAAAATTTTCAAGAAGAACCTGAATCTGTTCTTGCGAGTCCGTCTAATGGAAAATTTAAAGACTTTTTTTGCTTTATCCATTCTATGGGGCCCGTTCTGAGAAACACATGGTACTTGCCGTTAATTAAAAAGTTTTGTATTCAAATGTGTGTTTCATTGATACTTTACGTAGACGCAGCTGTATGGCTGTATTTGACTGTATCAACCATCTACTAACCCCCGCACGTTGCCGTGCCGAGTAGTCAACGGATGAAGAATTTACGAAACATGCCACTGGATATGTGTACAGGCTCAAGCCCACTTATTTAACAGAAAGACCCAGGCCCAGAGCCAGACACTCGGTCTAAATAAACTTTTTCAAGAGAAGAAACCCAAAAGAACTCATTGATTTGTTTTGTTCGAAAGCAAGTTAAGTTAAATACCAAATTCTTGGACAGCAAACACAAACCTAACAACCATTATCAAACACAACGACTCTTTGATCATTTCCAAGTCTCTCCTTGTGGAAGTGGAACATAACGTCATCAGCTCAAGAATGATGGAGGCTTCAAGCAACGAGCATGTTTGAAGAGAAAACTCAAGAACTCTCTCTCTTCTAATTTTCCCTTGTCGCACCCTTCAAACTCGAAAGTTTCAAGACTCTTCAACAAACATTCAGGAATCCAACTCTGTTCAATGCTGCAGCTAATCTGTTCTTGGTCGACAACATATCCCTGACATTAAAAAAAAGAAAAGTGTTTAGTAAGATTAAAAGTTTTTAAACCGGGAAAGAGGCTCGGAAGAAACTTACAAAGACGGGGAGCCTGAGAACTCGCAGTTTAGGAGAATCATTGAGCAACCTGAAAAGTAACTTCAACCAACCATTCTTGTATGTAATTAGCTTCAGATTTTCAAGCTGATCGAAGACAATACCAGCAGGGTACATAAACTGCACACAAGAGAAAGTAATAACAAAGGATTCATCCTCAAGAAATCCTGATTTAGTGTTCTATTATACGATTGAGAACTTGAAACTGATAGATGGAAACAGATTACCTCTTCTACATTTTTGAAAGATGCTGGACATGTTAATGTAAGACGTTTGACAGATGTGATTGATCCGAGAAACTCTTGGAGACCTTTCCCAACAGTGACATCTGCCTCTTCCAGCTTTGGCATATGATTAATCGAATAGGAGAAACTGTCTCTGTGGTCCTCAACTTCGCAATACTTCAAAGAAGGGGTATCTATCACACACCCACCAGAAGAACATACACTGTGTATAAATAAGACTAATCTCTACAAGGACGGGACAATAACAACTAACACTTTCACATTGTCACGCTTTTCATCTCGAAAGATCATCAGATCTTCCAGAACAGGGCAACATGTGATACGATTCATCAAACGTATTATCGCAAAAGGAAGAAGAATGGGACCGAAGAAGAAGCGAGTCAACGTGAGAGTGAGAAAAGAGTCAAGAGCTGAGCTGGCGGGTGAGTCAGCAGCGAAGAAAGATTGTAAATAAAAGATGTTTCGTATAAATAGAGAGGAGTGTTCTCTGTTTTCGTTTTCTATCCAGAAAATTACATTGTCAAGAAAAGCGTGTGTGCTTTCTTCTGATCGTATGTGATCAGTAACCAAGATCGTATGTGATCGAGGTTCGCTTTGTAATCGGATACATTCTTTTATTTCAATACAAATTTATTCTTTTATTGAGAGTTTGAGAGTACAAAAATCTATCATTGGTGCGGTGAAAAGGGTTCGAATCTAACGCGACAGAAGAGGAAAATTCAACAATCGGAGTTCATAGATCTACATCCATGGCGACTTCGCAGCAAAGGTTTGATATGGCAACGAGAGAGGCAATGAAAACACCAAACCCTAACTCAGCGAGTGGTTCTCAGTATGAAGAAGAGGACGATATCGCAGAGAGCGAGATGAGTCTTCGTTTTCTGAAGGACGCTTACAAGAGATTGAATGTTTCACGGAGGGAAACAGAGTCACAAATTACGGAGATTGATGGCAAGCTAGTGCAATTAGATGCCAAAATGTCTGATATCGACGGGAAAATGGACTCGATCTTGGGGATGTTGAAGCAATCCGCCGAGAACAAAGTTCAGAACACGGAAAGACCTAGCTTGGCTCCGACGCCTTTCCGTGAACAGAACCAGGTACATAACTCTAATCTGGAACAAAACCGGGGAAAACAACAGTTAGGTTATCGATCTGGGAACTTGAATTTAGCAAACAGAGAGAGTATGTTGCAGAAAGTTGAGATGCCAGGGTTCTCCGGGAAACATCCGTATATCTGGATACAGGATGTGGAACGTTTCTTCATGATTGGTCGATATGACGATGAAGAAAAATTGGAAATGGTTGCGCTGAGTTTAGAGGGGAGAGTTAAGAAGTGGTTTGCGTGGGAGCTCAAGAGAAAAGGCTTTCACAGTTGGCTTGATTTCAAAAACAAATTAGCACTGAGATTTTCTGAATCACTGGAAGAAGATCCAGCAATACGCTTGTTCTCTATCAGGCAAACGGGATCAGTTACAGATTACATCTCAGAATTTGAAGAGCTGTCGGAGTTAGTGAACGGGCTGGATGATGATCACCTAACAAAGATATTCTATAATGGCTTGAATCAAGAGATGAAGGAAGTGATTCGTATGAAAGAACCAGTGGGGCTCGAAAATCATATCGCTGCGGTTTTACGAATGGAATCCAGTGCCTTCTGTAAGGTAGTTAGTGGATCGTCCAGAGCTGATACGAAAAGTCAGAGAACTTACACTTACACAGCCTCAAAACCAGCTACGACATACAATAATCAGAAAGGGTACTTCAGTAGTGAGCAACGATCTGGGGGTCAAGGACAGAGTAAACACGAGAGTACGACTTTGCCTAAGACTGGTGAAAACAGACCTAATCAAAAATACACGCCTGAAGAGCTGGATCGAATGAGGAGAGAAATGATTTGCTTTAAGTGTAGAGCAAAAGGTTGGACAAGAGCTCATAAATGCCCAAAGCAAGAATTACGAGTCCTAACGTTGATAAATGGACTCGAGATGGAAGTGTTGGACCAAACTGATGATTATGAGGAGGAGGAAGTTTTGTTAGAAGCAACTCAAGAGTTACGGGTATTGTCTCTCAGTTCATTCTTGGGAATTCATTCGCCAAAGACTACAAAGCTCTATGGACGAATAAACAAGACTAACGTCATTGTTATGATTGATAGTGGTGCATCTCACAATTTCATCTAGCCAACGATCCTACAAAGGCTTAAGTTGAAAGTGTATCATGAACCAGGCCTAGACATCCTTCTTGGTAATGGAGTCACAATCCAAGGGACAGGGATTTGTGAAGCAGTGACATTCCAGTTGTCGGATGCCGTGTTTAAGTCGGATTTCATATCACTGGAACTGGGAATGGTTGATGTGATATTGGGAGTGCAGTGGCTCGAGACACTGGGCAAGTGCGAAGTTGACTGGAAGCAGTAAGAAATATCCTTCAACTATGAAGGAAAACGGGTTACAATTCTTGGAGACCCATCGTTACATAATACCAAATTTTCAATGAAGTCGTTATCTCTTAGTGCGAAAGGAAGGGAAGCACTTTCTCACCTCAACGCGATAACTACTTCTGCTCCAAAGATTCCAGAGATGATAGTGCAATTACTGGAGGAGTTTAATCATATCTTTGCTCTCCCAACGGGTTTACCACCATTCAGGGGCAACGAACATGCACTTAATTTGGTGCCTGAGGTGACAACAGTGTCTGTACGACCTTATAGGTATCCGCATGCTACCAAGATAGTAATGGAACAAATGGTGCAGGAAATGCTGGATTCGGGCATCATCAGACCTAGCACTAGTCCATTCTCTAGCCCGATGCTTTTGGTGAAGAAGAAGGATGCATCGTGCCGATTATGTGTTGATTACAGAGCTTCAAACCAAGCTACAATCCCTAACAAGTTCCCAATTCCAGTAATTGATCAGTTATTAGATGAACTCAATGGCGCCAAAGTCTTCTCAAAATTGGACTTACGCTCGGGTTATCATCAGATCAGGATGGAAGAAAGGGATATTGCGAAGACTGCTTTTCGTACTGTGGAGGGACACTACGAATTCTTAGTTATGCCATTTGGCTTGACTAACGCACCAGCAACATTCCAGGCGCTAATGAACAAACTATTCAAACCTTATCTGCGGGAGTTTGTCTTAGTGTTCTTTGATGATGTTCTGGTATACAGTCGCAGTGTTGAGGATCACAAGAGACACTTAACAACTGTGCTTCGCATCTTTGAAGAACAGAAACTGTTGGCTAACAAGAAGAAATGTTTGTTTGGCCAATCACAAGTAGAATATCTTGGGCATATTATCTCAGAAGAGGGGGTGGCCACAGATTCTCTGAAGACAGCTGCTATGCGAGGGTGGCCCATACCAAGGACTGTTAAACAGTTGAGAGGGTTCTTGGGACTGACAGGATATTACAGACGATTTGTCAGAAATTATGGGGTAATTGCGAGACCACTTACAGAGCTGTTGAAAAAGGATAAGTTCAAATGGTCCTGTGAAGCGCAACAAGCTTTCGAAAAACTGCAGTCTGCAATGATTTCGGCTCCAGTGTTGGCCTTACCGGATTTTACTAAGCCATTTATAGTAGAGTCGGATGCCTCGGGTTATGGAGTCGGAGCAGTGTTAATGCAAGACAAAAGGCCTATTGCGTTCTTTAGCCATGGACTTACAGCAAGAGAACAATTAAAGCCTGCATATGAGAGGGAACTTATGGCCATCGTGATGGCAGTTCAAAAATGGAAACACTACCTCTTAGGAAGGCGTTTTGTGGTACATACAGATCACCGGAGTTTGAAATTCTTGCTAGAACAGAAAGAGGTTAATATGGAATATCAGAAGTGGCTAACCAAATTGTTGGGATACGACTTTGAGATCCTGTACAAACCAGGGTGTGAGAACAAAGCTGCTGATGGCTTATCAAGGATCGAATCGAGTACAAGTAGTGATTCGAACTCGCTGCTGTTGGCACTAACGGTTCCCTCAGTTATACAGATGCAGGAGTTGTATAAAGAAATCGAGGAGGACACGACTATTCAACAGCTGCTGCAGCAAGTGCTACACGGACAACTTCAGAACAAACATTACAGTGTTATAGATGGTAAACTTTGGTATAAAAAGCGACTGGTGATCCCGAAAACATCTGCTTTTATACCACTGTTACTTCATGAGTGTCATGATGGTAAAGTGGGTGGACACTCGGGAGTTCTTAAGACAGTCAAGAGGATTCAGACGCTGTTTCAATGGAAAGGTCTCACGAAAATGGTTCGGAAGTATGTAGCAGAGTGCGATGTATGTCAGACACATAAATATTCGACTCTATCACCTGCAGGTCTGCTACAACCACTACCAATACCCGAAAGAGTGTGAAGATGTGTCTATGGACTTTGTTGAAGGACTCCCTACATCTCACGGTATTAATGTCATCTTAGTAGTGGTGGACCGTTTGAGCAAGTATGGTCACTTCATTGGGTTGAAGCACCCTTTTACAGCTGTGGATTTTGCCAATAAGTTCATGTCAGAGATAGTCAAACTTCATGGCTTTCCGAAATCCATTGTTTCGGACAGAGACAGAATCTTCTTGAGCAACTTTTGGAAAGATTTGTTTCGTCTATCCGGTACTAAGCTGAAATATAGTACGGCCTTTCATCCACAGACGGACGGTCAGACAGAAGTCCTTAATCGCTGCGTCGAAATATACCTCTGTTGTTTTGCTTCGGGACATCCTCGGACCTGGTACAAATTTTTGGCGTGGGCAGAACTGTGGTACAATACATCGTTTCACACATCTTTGAAAAGTACTCCTTTTGCTGTGGTTTATGGCAGAGATCCCCCAGCCATAGTTCCCTTTGAAGTGGGTTCTACAAAGAATTTTGAATTGGAGGAATCTCTTAAAGAAAGAGACGCGATGCTGATACAAGTGAAAATGCATCTAGCCAGGGCACAACAGTTAATGAAGAGACAGGCAGATAAGCATAGACATGAGCTTGAGTTCAACGTGGGAGATTTGGTTTACTTAAAACTCAAACCGTATCGTCAAAGTTCAGTGGTGAAGCGATTCTGGGCAAAACTTGCGGCTAAGTTCTTTGGTCCTTATGAGATCACGGAGCGTATTGGTCACGTTGCTTATCGTCTCCACTTACCTCCTGAGTCCAAGATACACCCGGTCTTCCACGTATCTCAGTTAAAGAAGATGTTGGGGCAGGGTCAGGTAGTGCAGAGTGCTCCACCAACGTCTACAGATCTGGAGAATGTCCTCGTTGAACCAGAGTCAGTTTTGGCATCTCGTTACAATGCTACTGGCGGCGTAGAATTGTTGGTGCGTTGGAAGAATTGTCCGAACCATGATGACTCGTGGGTCTTATCTCGAGACTTCGTACAACAATTTCCAGATTATAAGCTTGAGGGCAAGCTGGGTCTCACAGGGGGGAGTATTGATACGATTCATCAAACGTATTATCGCAAAAGGAAGAAGAATAGGACCGAAGAAGAAGCGAGTCAACGTGAGAGTGAGAAAAGAGTCAAGAGCTGAGCTGGCGGGTGAGTCAGCAGCGAATAAAGATTGTAAATAAAAGATGTTTCGTATAAATAGAGAGGAGTGTTCTCTGTTTTCGTTTTCTATCCAGAAAATTACATTGTCAAGAAAAGCGTGTGTGCTTTCTTCTGATCGTATGTGATCAGTAACCAAGATCGTATGTGATCGAGGTTCACTTTGTAATCGGATACATTCTTTCATTTCAATACAAATTCATTCTTTTATTGAGAGTTTGAGAGTACAAAAATCTATCAACATGATAGAAGCAATCGAAGAGAATCTTCATTAAAGTATGTCACCCGTTTAAGTTTCAAGGTTTTCAAAGAAGGGAGACAAACCGTTCCATGGACATTTACACGAACCTTATTTCCTTCAAGTTTCAAAGTCACGAGCGATTTGCAGGTATATAAACTATTCGGCAATACTGAATCATGGTCAATACATAGCTCTAGCTCTCGGACGCAGCGAGAGACTGCAATTTCAACCCATAGGTTGAGATCCGCATGTCGGAATAATGCAGAAAGAAATCTGAGGCGCAAGCTTTCTATGATGGGAGCTTTATGTAAAGGCAGGTTCTTGTTAATAAAATCTCGATACCTCAGCAATGAAGACTTTGAACGATTGTATTCGAAATCAATGTACTCGAGCTTAGGCACCCACATCCAGAGAAACTCCCATCGCTTAGACAGAATGCTAGTGGATACAGACACTTTCGTCGGAACAAACGATAATATCTTAACCAGCAAGTCATCAGACAACTCATTGATTCTGTCCATAGCTTACAAAGTGAAGATACCGTTGGATTTAATTTGTCTTCCCTTCTTCTGTTTTTACGACCATTAAAAATTAAGAAAACACTTGTAAAGTTAAGACTCAAAAGGATTTTGTCGGAAGTTGACTAAACGAGGTAGTAGCAAGTGAAAAACACAGCGACGCAGACAAAACCCTAGAAAAACCTGGAACGGGACAAAACCATAGGAAGAAAAAAACATACCTGTGAAGTTCGGTGGAGGCTGATTTTCGCAGATAAAATCAGAAACGCTTGGAGAACTGAAAAAGCCTTTGTGGACACTTTATACAAATTTCGTTTTTGAATGGAAAGATTGTTTGAGCAAAGAATCGAAAAAGGGGAGAAAGTTAATTGGAATCGAGAAAGCATAAACACCAATCGAATCATAGCTATTGGGTTAGCGAATGGTTAATTTCATTTACATTCTGTTGGACTTGACTCTGGGCCTCAGAATTTAAAACTTTTTTTTCTTTTAGGGTTAAAATCGAAAACTCGCCCCCACTCGACTCTTAAAAAAATTACCATACTCGGATTAAGCTCATTCGAGTTTATTATTTTTTAGACATATCCGAAACTCATATAATTTTATTATAATTTATTATAAAAAAATTATTAAAGAATTACATTATTTAAAAATAATAATTTGGAAGTTTTGTTATTAATCGAAAACTATACTTTTTTTAATTGTATGCCTCTTTATAAATTTTATGTTAAACAATATTTATATGATTATATCTTAAATCTATTGTCTAATTTTTACTTGTATGCCTCTTTATAAATCTCAAGTTAAACAAGATTTATACCTTTAATCTATTGTCTATACTACGTACTTAGATTTTAAACATTTGTAAATTGTATTGCTATTTGATATTAGAAATAATTTAAATTTATTAATTCAAAAAATTTATTTTTCACAGTGAATTGGATTCGTTGTATATTTTTTTCAATGTAGATTTATTTTTAATAATATTTTTTATATATTTTTATGTATTTTTAATTTAGTTTTTTTTAAAAAACCTAAAAAAACTCCTAAAAATTCTCAGCTACCAAGACGTGGGAGCATATCAAGATTGTGCGCCCTTATGTCCCTTGGTTCTCATATGGTTTCCGCAAGCAGTACCTTAGTATGCATTTATATCTTGGCTTGCCATTAAAAATCGCTTGGCTACAGGTGTACATATGTGAGATTGGGGCATAGTGCAGAGCTGCTATTGTGTGGAGAATTGAATGAGTCGAGGGATCACCTCTTTTTGCGTGTCCTTATACTTAAATAGTCTGGACAAATCTTGAGAGCCGCCTTCTAAGCTCAGGAGACAGACCGGACTGGTCGGACACTGTTGACTTTAACAACTACTTCACGGAATGTGCAGGATATATGATTCTTAAAATTTTTGTTTCAAGCTTTCATATATCACATTTGGCGAGAGAGAAGTTCAAGAAGACATCAGATAAATCCATCAGAAATAGGATTGTGTCTTTCAACTATAAGTATCCTCACAAACATGAAGAACTCCTTCGAAGATGGTTTGAAATGGGCATGAGCTAAACAATAGAGTTTGCTTAGAATAGTTAAAATTTTACATTCGATTCATTTGTTATTCTTTATTCATGTAAATAACTTTAACCACTGTTATCAATAAATCTGACATTCTATTAAAAAACAAAAAAAGATTGGGCAAACCTTTAAAATATAAATCTGATAATTTTTTTTTGTCAACTGGACCACACTTAAATATATATAGATTTTACAAATTTTGGATCGGGCCGAGTCAACCTGATTGACATATCTGACGGGAAAAACGCATAAAAAATTATGAAAGTGGCACGCACTGACACTTTAAATCTCAAAAGTATTTTATTAATACTTTAAATCGTCAATCAAATTTTATTTACAGAAAAAACTTTCGAAGTGGCTTTCGATTTCGCAACCCCAGAATTTTGAACGAAATAGTAAACTCTGTTAACGGAGATTTAACCTCCGTTTAAAAAGTCATTGATTTAATATAAAAAAATAACAAAACTCAAAGTCTATATCTTAAGAATTCCCAAATCGATTTGGGATCCATCGCGATTTAGGGTTCTTCTTCAAAACCAGAAGAAAATCAAGAGCAGAGAAACTGAGATCATTAAGAGTGAATCTGAATGCCTTTCTGCCGAAATGAGGTAAGATAGTGTTTCGAATTGAATCATTTCATTTAGAAGTGTTTTTCGTTCTCTCTTTCATTTTTTGGGTTTAAGCACGAAAAAAAAAAATTTCTGGGTTTGCACAATTGTGCTTGTTTTCGTTAAAGTGAGCTTGAATCATAAGATTAATAGCTATTAATCGTGATATATGTACTTTGGATCGATTAAAACTTTGGTATCTTAATTTTCAGTGAGTCAATTAAATTATAATATACTATGGAGGATCTATGTGGAAAGAAGATGATGGTGATTATAAATATATTGATCAACTGGATTGTGAGAGTGTGCAATGAAAGCTTAAGAGATTACATGGGAGAAATTTGAATCTTTCCTTAGAGATTCACATGTGTGTACTCCGATTGCTTGGATTTGGTATAAAGATGTAGTTGAGGATATGAAGAAATTGAAATATGTCTTTGAGAGTACAAATGATGCTATGGGTGAGCTATAAATTGTTGGAGAAGCATCTGGTGAGATTCATGCTTTTATCAAACATGAATGCTCAAATCAGATGCGTGAGGTCATTCATATTCTGCCGAGTAGTCGGGCTGAAGATCTTGGTAAAAGAGATGATAATGATGATGAAAATGAAGCTGATGCTGATGAAAGTGAGAATGATGATGACGAGAGGCCAAGGGAAAAGGATGGAGGTGAGCGATCCGAGGATGAAGCTCCCATAGAGGATGGTTTAAAGGTTTAATGCCATCATCTGAATGGCATTAATTATATAAAATCTATTATTATTTAAATTTTTATAATAAAACGCAAATTTTAGACTTATGTACTCGTGGAAATCAATTAGACACTTGTTAATTTGACATAACTAGAAATAAAATTTTGCCATTTTTAAAAAATATACAGATCTTTAGAAATTTCTTTCATACCAATTCATTTTACTTAAATAAAACTCCGTTTGACACTAACCTTTCCTCTTCCTTAAGCAAAAATTAATATCGATCTTAGCTAAGTTATGGCATACATAGTTTGCACAAAAATTCTTTTTTGATGATAAGTTTGGAAATATTATTTTGTGTGGAAGAACAAAAAGACTTGGCTACCTTACATGTGTTTTGTACCCATTCTTAGTAGAGATATCACCATCTTCCAGCTTTACAGTCAATAACATGTATACTTCGGCTCATATATTCCACAAGTGAAGTATTCTAGGCCATTTATTGCTCGGATTATATATGAGATGAACTGCTTGGATTTTCTAACGATGGTTAAAAACTCAGTGGATTGATTTACTCTTGCATATACTATTGTAACTTTAGGGATTGTTTCTATAATATTAGTTTAATTTTAATTCCACGTAGACCTAGGCTCTCTGAACCATATCTTGCTTATAAAGAGAAGCAGATTAGGTCAGTTAGATTTGAAACAGACTGATCGGATCTAATAAAAATAATTGACTTTCTTCACATATACACCTACACTATTTTTTGTAACTTAAAAAATTGTTTCGATTTTAGTTTATTCTTTATTTCTCGTATTCTTTTAGTATCCGTGCTAACTCTCTTACAAAGAGAACGTAAGCACATAATTACATCTTATCCCATGTAAGTCATACCAAATTAGTATAGTTGTGGCATTGCTCATGTCTATTTCGAGAGAGGTTAGATGTATTTCATTTTTCTACATCTTTTTACAATTATCCATTTTTTTTTATGTTTTATAAGAAACACTATTGGTTTATGTTCAAATCATGTGTCTTCATTCATCTTGATTCTCTGTTTTTTGCTGTATTTTGTTCATCACTGTTTCTCGGACATTAAAGCCTCATTTCTTGGTTTGTTGTGTTTTCCCCTAAAATCGACGCCTATAGGATCAAAGAGTCTCAAAGCTAGTTTCCACACAAAGATACTTTATACTGTAGTCTTAAAAGACTTGTGAAGCCACGCAAGGCAAACAATGTGGCACTTTTGTGTTTTTTAAGACGGTGACTTACGTTAATGGTCTTGCGTTAACGAAGGCTCGTTGAGATGTGAACAAAAGAAAATGAGTGCATTTAAGAGACTTGAATCTGCGACATCTTTAGTAAGAGACTTGAGTCGCAAGGCACACCCATACTAATCATAAGTCATAATACATAACAAACCAAAAGTACCAAATCTAGTTAAACACATAATTCTTGGACAACAAAACAAACGTAACATCCATAACCGAACATTGCACCAATGATGAGCGCAAGATTGATGTAGACTTGAGACGACGAGCATGTTTGAAGATAAAACTCACGAAACCTCTCTCTTCTGGTCTTCCCTCGTACCCTGTAAACTCGAAAGTTTCAAGACTCTTCAACAAACATTTAGCAACCGGACTCCGTTCATTGCTCAACCATTCATACGCCTCAAAACAACCCTGAGATCAACCCAAAAAAGAAGAAAATAGAAAGAGAAGAAAGTTAAAATTACACACTTTTAGACCCAAAAAAAGAGTTTTTGACGAAACTTACATCGACGGAGAGACTGAGGACTCGCAGTTTAGGAGAATCATTGAGCAACCTGACGATTAACTTCGACCAATAATCATTGAATATACATAGCTCCAGATGTTCAAGCTGATCGAAGACTATACCAGCAGGGTACATAGCCTAAGACAAAGTAATAACAAATGATTCATTCTCAAGAAAACCTGATTCAGTGTTCTATGATGGAGAACTTGAAATTGATACCTCTTCGTCATTGTTGGTAAGTACTTTTAATATAAGACGTTTGACAGATGTGATTGCTTCAAGAAACTCGTCCAGATCCTTCAAAATAGAGATATATGCCTCTTCCAAGTTTGGCATATGCTTAATCGAATAGGAGAAACTGTCTCTGTGGTCCAAAAGTTCGAAATATTTCAAAGAAGGGGTATCTATCACATACCCATCAGAAGAACATGAATCTTCTGTATATAAGGATAACCTCTGCAAAGACGGGACAACAACAACTAACGCTTTCACATTGTCACCCTCTACTCGTTCAATAAACAGATCTTCAAGAACAGGGCAACACGACAGAAGCAAACCAAGAGAATCTTCACTTGAGTATGCCACATTTCGAAGTTCCAAAGTTTTCAAACAAGGGAGACAACCCGTTCCAGGGACATCCACAATAATCTCCATGCCTTCAATCTTCAAAGTGACGAGTGATTTGCAGGTATGTAAACTACTCGGCAATGCTACACCAGGTTCGTCATTGTAAGGAAGATAGCAGATACTTAGCTCTCGCACGCAGCGAGAGACTGCAATTCCAACCCATAGATTGATATCCTCAGGTCGAAATGATGCAGAACGAAACCTAAGGCACAGACTTTCTATGATCGGAGCTCTATGTAAAGGCAGATTCTTGTTTATAAAATCTCGATACCTCTGGAGTGAAGACTCTGAACCATTGGTATCAGTAATGTCATTGACATCGTTGTACTCGAGCTTAGGCACCCACATCCAGAGAAACTCCCAACGCTTAGACAGAATGCTAGTGGATACAGCCACTTTTGTCGGAACAACCGATAGTATCTTAACCAGCAATTCATCAGACAACTCACTGATTCTGTCCATATCTTACAAAGTCAAGATACTGTTGCGATCGAACAAAAACAAAAATTGGATTTTGTCTTCCCTTCTTTCTTCCGACCCTGAAACGAAGTAGTAACTGTATACCCACTTCGCTTCTGAATAGATAGATTGTCTGAGCAAAGAACCGATTATCAGAAGTTCATCGGAATCGACAGGGCTTTGTTCTTGTCGTCAATACTCATCGAACCGTTCGGATTCCATTTAATTGGGTTAGCGATTGCGTTAATGCCCACCAACACTTCATCTAAATCTCTGGTGGGCCTGGGCTTGAACATTTTACTAAGATTTTTGCCTGAGATTGGGTTATAAAATCTCTTTATCGCAATGCATCATTACATTAACTATATAATAAAATTTTAAGATAAAAATATCTTGTTTGTATGAAGTCACAAAATGTATATATATTCTTTTAATTCATTATATAAAACTTATGATTCACTTTTTGATTTTATATCTTCTAATCTTTCTCTTATTTTTCTTATTCTTCGGTTTTATCACTTTCAATTAAAACAAAAATTAGTATTTTCTTCTTTATTTTATCTCTTAAAAAATTTGAAGTTATATTTTAATTTTTATATTGATACATACTTATGTCACATTATAAATTAATAATAAGGCATGTGATGACTTTAGTAAGTTATAATTTTAGTTTTATATAACAAGATGTTTATATTTATAAATAAAAAAGATCAATGAAAATATCAGATCAACCAATATTACCATAACAATACGAGTTTACATCTTATTTCTCTCTTAAGAAACATTCCAACATTTTAAAAATTCGATTAACAATTTGGTTTTCCTTCTCTTATAAAACATTCAACAACCACCAAAATAACGCGAGAGATATCTTCATTAACTTTACTCTTATTGATGAAGACTTCAGGTCTCGGCTTAATTTGTGACAATGCATTAATACACATGTACATCGCCGGTAACGTGCCGCCAACTGACATGTGTAAGCCGTCGTAGTCCTTGGCTGCCAAGGCTTTGAGGGATTGATCTTTATCACCAAGAACAGTTTCATATCGGTTTATACATAATTTCATTTTCTGCAAATCCAATGTGTTGCCTTTAAACGATTTCATTTGCTTTATTGCATCGGGAATATTTTGAGACTGGTAATTAATTAAAAATTTGGCGAGTTCAGAAAAATCCAAAGTTGCAATATCAGGAGCTGATTTTAGAATCTCAAAACAAAGTGATGAATTGATATCCCTTTTTGTGCAAATGCCCTCGATCTCACCTTGTGTAACCATACTACTAAATCTTGCATATGATAAAACAGTAGAAAAAAGTAAAACCACTAGAAAAGCCAATGAAAAGTTTTTTTTGATGTATGCAACCATTTTTCTTGTTCCAAGTATTTCAGAACTTATGTTTCATTTTGATAGGTTCAAACATGTATCTTCACAATTTAAATATTGCTAACAGGTTTTATCTCCCATAAATAATAACAGATTGTGTATCTTAATAAAATGATTTAAATTGAGATATATATATATATATATATATATATATGTGTGTGTGAGCAATATGTCTAAATGGCGAACACATACATACAAAGTTTGTTCTTTGGTAGTTTAGATAACTCATAAAATTGCAGATTTATTGATGGAAGAAGATATAATATTATTGGAATGAATCATACAAAAAAATTAAGTTAGGTAGTATATATTTTTTGACACTTAATATATAATACAAATCTTTCTTTTGCACCTAGTTTAATTTAATAGCACTATCTCAAAGCATTTAAGATTCTCTTCAAGAGTAGATATGATGCTTTAAAAGTTATACAGTAGATATCATTCATGTAAACACATATCAAATGTTATCATTTCATAGGCCAAAGTTAAGTTTAAGGGTTGCATTGTATCAAACTCAAGGTTTAAGTTGTTACCACTACATGAATGTATAGGTGGGCTTTGAAGAACGTATATCGTTCATTCAGTAACATCCGGACCGTCTCTACCGGCGAGTCATCCATCTTTCTGTCGGGCTTGTGGGCCCGTCTATGTCCGACGGCCGGTGCGTTATTTTTTCGGAGTCCAACCGGCTTATTTATTAATCCTGTAATCATCATATGATTTTTCCTCATGTTTTGCCCTCACTCACACGGTTTTGGAAATCACTTCCCGAAAAGTCACCCATTCTAGTCCTACTCTGCTCAAGCATCCTTAACTGTGGAATTTTCTCAAGACCAGTGACCAAAAAGACAAGTGCACTTTAGTGATATAGATAGTCAAATCAATTCATTTAAACTTATTCAAATGGGCCGAGTCCGGATCATTACAATTTTCTCCCACTAAACGGGAATTCGTCCCCGAATTCTGATTCCAACAGTGTGAGTCTTAGCCCCCAAACCCCAAGACAGTCTCCTGGGACAGAACTAGTTTGACTTCTCAGGCTCTGATACCACTTGTAACACCCCGACCACCCCTACCGGCGAGTCACCCATCCCTCCGTCGGGCTCGTGGGCCTCGCCCCTGTCTGACAGTCGGTGCGTTATTTTTTCCGGAGCCCAACTGACTTATTTACTGACACTGCAATCACCACATGATCTTTCCTCGTGTTTTAGCCACACTCACACTGTTTCGGGAATCACTTTCTGAAATGTCACTCATCCTAGTTCTGCTCTAGTTAAAACACGCTTAATTTTGGAGTTCTCTCATGCCCACTAACCGAAAAAATAAATGTACTTAAATGACATATATAGCCAAATCAATCCATTTCAGTTTATTCAAATGGATCGGATCCGGATCGTTACACATTCGACAGAAACTGATACACTATCTAACAAACATATTATTTCATCCATATTCCAAGATGCATAATTCTCCAAATCGATTAGATCACTTATGAATGACTCCATAAAAATCACTCTTGATTACACATCTTAGAGACGTCCAAAAACGTCTTTACGGTTCTTTTTACAGGAGTGAGATTCGAACTTGCACTCTGATTGATCAGCCTTGACTTCTCTCTCGTGTTGTTCAGTGAACGCGCCGTTATCGTCCGATATTTGACAATATTGGAACACATGCGTTATAGTCTTTCAAAATCTGATCGCATATAACTTGTGTTGGCACGATTTCGATAAATCTTAGTTTGTGTTTGGATTATTCTACATGGAATTAGACTCGAATTACTCTAAAGTGATATAGGCAGATAAACTAAAATGGAATATAAATTTAAAACTGGCATGCCTTAAAGTCTACCATATCAATCTGGATCGGCGCAGACTTAGAACAAATCTTCTTTACACAGCCATATCAATATAAATTTGCCTAAATATACTAATATTTTGAGTTATTTGAGCCTTGCAATTAGAAAGCTGTTTGACATTTATCGCAAAGCTTAACAACTAAGGGGCCCAATGAAGATAATGTATGTCTTTGATAGATAAAGTTATGCCTTCTTATGAGACTTAATTTCCAAATTTTGTTGTATTTATCAGTGGTATTACAAAGAACTTGTTGACTACAAAAATGTAAGAGCATGAGATGTGTAAATATGAAATTAAAAAAAAAAATTAAGAGACAAAGAAAATGAGTGCATTTAAGAGAGGGACAGTGTTTGTTGCACATGTTTTCATGTGCGTCCAATACTTGCGCCATTTTATATCCGTCTAATCCAGCCTTTAATCATTCTTTATTGGTTTTAAAACCTTTCAAATTCCATTAATTCTGATGAGTTGGTTCGACCTCGAACTAATTGAATTTCAGGTCCCTAGAATCATCATGTTCTCCTAAAAATTTGATAATGGTTTAATCTATTTACAGAATCATTACAAGAAAATAGTTATATGCATATTTCAATTAGTAAAACTATTAAGAGCAGTGTTGTAATCATCAAACCAATAACATACATCTAAATTAAGGAATCCGTGAGTTCTTTTTTTTCCCCTGATACAAGGAAATGCATCGTGCAGATTCATATGTATACTATTTAAACATAATATTTCTAAAATAAATCCGTTTTCATTAAATCAGTACACGTAACATACATATATTCTATAGTGTGGACAGCTGTATGTATATAACATAATGCATGATGGATCATGACGAGGATGTGGCATGCAGATAAAGGTGTTGCTGGTTTTTTCTGGGGCCACCAATAGTATCAATAATGTCGCAGTGTGCAATGCCTTTAATCCATTATGGTACAATAAAACCAAAAATGATCACTTATTTACTTTAATTTTATTTCACAATTAAGAAGCCACTAATCATCTTTACACTCACCCTTTGTAACCACAAAACTATTAATTATATACAAAGCCACTTCTGACAATTATTAAATACTAGTAATTTACCAGTTTTAATTTTCATGTGTGAGATTTGAACCCTCCACTTAATTACCTATTGGCATTTATTATACACAATAATACTAATATAGATCTAATGGTTTTTTTTTTCCTTTGGCCTCCAAAACAAATAAAAATATCAGTCAGAGACTCCATTCTTAAATGTAAATTTAATTACTAAACCTACCAACATGAAAAAGCTAACCTACTCTTTTACCTGACCCAAAATGAAAGCTAATTTCCATACAAAGTTACTTTATATTATACAATTCTGATTATTACAAATTACAATCATAGACTTTTGAAGTCACGCAAGGGAAAAAATAGGTTGGGGTGTCTATTACATTTAAGGACCCATATAAACACCCACATTTATATGCCTTACTGCATTGAAAAGAAAAGCTGTTTTCAATTCAATATTAAACTAATAAAAGTTTAATTTCCTACTCAATCAACCCATAAAAGCAGTAAGAAAAAAAAGAAAAAGGCTTTAGATGGAATCTACTTATGTCTCACTGATTAAGTTTTATATATTTGAAAAAGTGTAGCAATCAACCTTTATATTCCACAAGGAAAGTGGCCACAGACTGTAAATCAGTTTTTGTTTTGTTTTCTTCCTCCCTACATTCTTTGGAAACTGATGCAAAATCAGAGAACATCTTCTTATGTTTATATGAATCCGAGAAATTCTGGGGTGAAGGTTTTGTAATTTGTTGGTTCTTTCGAGAAACAATGTTTAAGTCATGGAGGAACGACAAGAACAAGATCAAGGCTGTGTTCAAGCTTCAATTTCAGGCAACTCAGGTGTGTTTTGTCTCTTAAATCTCCAAACCCCAACAATCTCATTTTTAATATTTTTTTCTCTGAGAAATTCATACAATGTGTTCTCTACAATCCTAGATCTGTCAAGTTTCAAGATTTGTTTGTATATAAAAGTAAAAAAAAAAAAAAAGATGTTACCTTTTATTGAAGGTACCAAAGCTGAAGAAAGCTGCTTTGATGATCTCATTGGTACCTGATGATGTTGGGAAGCCGACATTTAAGCTGGAGAAAGCTGAGGTTAAAGAAGGGATCTGTTCATGGGAGAATCCAATCTATGTCTCAGTGAAGCTTATTAAGGAACCAAAAACTGGGATTGTTCGTGAGAAGATTTACCATTTCGTTGTTGCAACAGTGAGTGAAATCAACAATCTCTTTCTCTTCCGAGTTCTTCAGCAAAAATGAAAAGTCTTTTTGAACCTTTCCAAAATTTCTTTCAGGGTAATTCGAAATCTGGTTCTCTAGGAGAAGCTTCAATTGATTTTGCAGATTTTCTGACAGAAGCAGAGCCATTAACTGTCTCCTTACCTCTCAAATTTGCCAACTCTGGTGCTGTCTTAAATGTAAGCTCTCTTTCTTCTTTCCCTTTCTGAAACCTAAATTAAGAAACTGTATCACAGAAATTGTCAAAATCTAAACTGAGAAAATATGTAAGAAATCAGAAATGTATGATAAGGTAAAACAAAAATAGTTTTCAAAGATTATAATAAAATGTTTGTGTCTTACGCGCAGGTGACAATAGAGAAGATCCAAGGAGCTAGTGATTTAAGGTAGATATTTTCAAAATATTTTGTTCGTGGATGGTGACTGTGTAAGTAGATTCTTGACTTGAAACTCTTGCAGATTTATTCAAGAAAATAAAGATCAAACACTTTCCAAGGAAGGTAGCTTCAAAAGCCTACCCAGCAACGATGACTTAGATGGATATAACCAAGATGTAAGTTCTTGGTTCACAGAGTTAAACACTTTCTTGAAGTCGTGATTGTTATCGATCTTTCTCATTTTAAAATCTTTTTTTTTTTTTGCAGGAAAGGAGCTTAAATGCTAACACGGCTAAGAATCTCGGTCTAGGAGGTTCGTTTGATTCCATTGGTGAATCAGGATGGATGGATGGTTCAGATGGGAACACACGTTTACCTCAACGACATAACTCAGTTCCTGCAGCTAAAAACGGACATCGAAGATCAAACACAGACTGGTCAGCTAGTTCAACATCAGACGAAAGCTACATCGAGTCGAGAAACAGTCCCGAGAATAGTTTCCAAAGAGGAAGCTCTGATTCGAGTGACCCTATTGAGAAGCTAAAGATGGAGTTAGAAGCTTTAAAGAGGCAATCAGAGTTATCGGAGCTTGAAAAGCAGGCTTTAAGGAAACAAGCGATTAAAGAGAGCAAACGGATACAAGAACTGTCGAGGGAAGTTAGTAGTCTCAAGGGAGAAAGAGATGGAGCTGTTGAAGAATGTGAAAAGCTCAGGCTGCAGAATAGTAGAGACGAAGCTGATGCTGAAAGTAGATTGAGATGTGTCAGTGAAGATTCGAGCAATATGATTGAAGAGATTAGAGATGAGCTGAGCTGTGAGAAGGACTTGACGAGTAACCTGAAATTGCAGCTGCAGAGGACGCAAGAGTCGAACTCTAATTTGATTCTTGCTGTGAGAGATCTCAACGAGTTGTTGGAAGAGAAAAAGAATGAGATATCTTCTCTGAATAGCTTATTAGAGGAGACTAAGAAGCTTGAAGTGGAGGATTCTGGACACAATGAGATAGATACACTAAAGCAACAGATTGAAGATTTGGATTGGGAGTTGGAATCTTACAGGAAGAAGAACGAAGAACAGGAGATTCTTTTGGATGATCTTACTCGAGAATATGAGTATTTAAAAGAGGAAAGCTACAAACATGTGTCTTTGAAGTTAGAGAAGCAAGGAGATGAGTTCTTGGATTCAAAGAATGTTGTAGAAGAGTTGGAATCTCAGATAGAGATATTGGAAGATAAACTGAAGCAGCAATCACTGGAGTACTCTGAATGCTTGATTACAGTTAACGAACTCGAGATTCAGGTTAAGGAGTCAAAGAAAGAAATTGAGGATCAAGCAAGGGGTTTCGATGAAGATCTCGATACAATGATGAGGGAGAAAACAGAGCAAGAGCAAAGAGCTATCAAAGCAGAGGAGAATCTGAGGAAAACGAGGTGGAAAAACGCTATAGCAGCAGAGAGGCTTCAAGAGAAATGCAAGAGGCTTTCTCTAGAAATGGAATCGAAGCTGAGCGAGCATGAGAATCTGACAACGAAGACATTGGCTGAAGCAAACGAACTGCGACTACAGAACAAAAATCTAGAGGAGATGCAAGAGAGAGCACATACCGAGATTACGCAGCAGAAAGAGATGAAGAAGAATGTGGAAGAGAAGAACGAAGCTTTGTCGATGAAAGTCCAGATGCTTGAAGGTGAGGTGATGAAGCTCACAAAGCTGAGAGATGAATCGAAGCTTGCAGCTACTGAAACAGAGAAGATAATACAAGAGTGGAGGAAAGAAAGAGATGAATTCGAGAGAAAATTTGCTTTGGCTAAAGACGAAGCCAAGACATTGCAGAAGGAGTTAACTCTTAGCAAGACTTCAAATGAGGAAAAAGAGACCAGGCTCAAGAATCTGAAGAGAGAAGTAGAAGGTTTAAGCCTACAGTACAGTGAATTACAAAACAGCTTTGTTCAAGAAAAAATGGAGAACGAAGAACTGAGAAAACAAGTATCAAACTTGAAAGTGGATATACGGCGAAAAGAAGAGGACATGACTAAAATCTTAGATGCAAGGTATGTGGATTACAAACTATTAAACTAAATTGAAAATGTTATATTTCAGTTATGATGATTTGACTTATTACGATGATATAATAACAGGATGGAGGCAAGATCACAAGAAAATGGGCACAAAGAGGAGAATCTAACAAAGCTATCAGACGAATTAGCTTATTGCAAGAACAAAAACAGTTCAATGGAAAGAGAGTTGAAAGAAATGGAAGAGAGATATTCAGAGATAAGCCTGAGATTCGCAGAGGTAGAAGGAGAAAGACAACAACTTGTGATGGCTGTCAGAAACCTCAAAAACGGTAAGAAGTTTTAGTATTTGTATGTTTGCATGCGAGATACAATTGCTGTAACACCCATAGAAGAGAAAACACTATATAAGTTGTGTTGTTAATAGAATTAATTTCTCTCATAAAACATTGTTTTCAACTTTGTCATCAAGAAATCAAACATTTTCTCTGCAATGTCATAAACATATACAAATTCGTTTTAAGAGAGGCTCTTTCGTTAATAATATGATATAATTGATAAAGTACGCTTACATTAAGATTACGGCGTGTTTGCTTCTCTACTTCCAGACCAGTTTAGTTTGGCTTCCAGATCCATTCACCGCGAAAGATAGAGACTGGAAATTTCAAAAAGAAACAATTACTGATATGAACAAATCTCACTTGTATTAGATAAGATCATATAGAAGCATTACCTGTTTAGCTCGCTTATCAATTGGTGTCCACGACTTAAGAGGCGAGTAAAATCTCTCATTTTGTGGGGAGGCTGAAGAATTATTCTTTGACCGTTTCTGCTTTCTCTCTTCTGGAGTTCTGTTACGAGCGTTGCCTCCTTTATACTTGAAGAACTCTAGTATCGAAGGGCTCTTCCTCTTGATATTATTAGATTTCTTTAGGTTCCCACGAGTTTCCAAACAAGAGGGAGTGAGATAAGTAGGAAGAGATTGTTGCTGCTGTCTTTCTCTGCTCCTTTCTCGTACTCTGTTAAGAAATTCGATCGTCCAAGGAGAACCTTGTACTTGATTTGGAGAATGGATTGCGTTTGATAGTGGAGATCCACCAAAATGTGATATCTCTTCTCTAAATGGAACCTCATCCGTTGTAGAAACTGCAGATCTCCGTGTTAAGACTTCCTCCAGGAGAGTCCGTTGGCGTTTTGCTGGGAAGTTATCAACATAGCCACGTAAAGAAGAAGAAGAAGTGGACACTTTTCTTGAATCTTTCTCCGTGGGTAATCTTTCAGAACTTAAGTTAATCTCAGCTGCTTTTGTGAAGTTAGGTTGGAGAGGTCCAGAGAAAGATAACTTCCTTGCGAATTTCGATTTTCTCGGAAGGTCGTCTTCATCAACATCACAAACTATTGGAGAATACCTATTGTAACCAGGAGAAGGCGGGAAATCTTCATCAAGAAACTTATTATCCTCTATGTTGATAACTTCGCCTTTGTAGTCTGCAATGTCATGCAAGTTTCGATTTCCCATCACAGGAAATTTGTCTCCTCTGTTCTGGCTCATGAAGTTGTCGTTAACAGGGAAATTCCAACTTTCGAATCCAGGAAGATTGTCCTCCACTTCAAAATCCTTTTCCCAAAACTTTTCCTTTGATGACGAACCAGGTCCTGACTTCTTGTTTAATCTCTCAGGATCTTTAGATGGCCAAGAGTCATTAGGCTGAATGATTCCAGAAGGTTTAAAGGGTGAATCGGAGAATTCAGTGACAGGGTCAAAATGAAATATCTCGTTCTCTCTAGATGACCAAGAATCATCAAGCTCGAAATCCACTGAAGGCTTGAGCTTCGTATCAGCAAATTCTGTCGAGGGAGCAAAATTGACCAAGTCGTCCATATCTATCTCATCTTTCCCAGAAATGTGCCGTTTCTTTTTCGAACCAGAGTGAACACTGATATGGTGTGTGTCTGAGTCAGGTCCAGAAGATACTGAAGAAGAGCTGTCTGTCATTACAGATTTTGAGTCCTCCCTCGCACCGTATCTGCATAGTGAGCTGAATAGATCAACACTCTCTTCAGGCACATGATACTTTTGCATCATTTGAACCTTGCTACTCTGCGGGAGCTTCATGAACTCGAGAAGTGACCCAGCGGATGACAGAATTGCTTGAGCGGTAAGCGGATTAACTGAAGGAAATTTGGTGAGAAAAGATTCTGCAAGAGACTCTGATTCAGGCATTTTGGCATGGACTTGGGATGATTTAACAGAAGATTTGATACACCTTAATATGATTTCGTCAGTTAAATCAGCTGACGATGAGCAAAAGATCTGTAAACTGATTCCCAGGCTACCAGCTGCTGCATACAGTTCATCAGAAGAGTCCATTACTGTAGCCAGGCAGGTGGGTTCCCCCTCAAAAACCTACAAGATAAAAAATAAAAATAGTTCTTTAAGAAGTGTTGTGGACTCACTCTCCAGTTTACAAAAAACCGTCACAAAGATATTAGAAGTTGATACTCAAAAGTGAAAAATAATTTCCAAATATAGAGTGCAATATTCTCACAAAAAGAGTGGCAGGAAGCAAAGTTCATTGGAATTTACCATTATGCAGCTGCTGAAACTGAAACTCAATGACGTCAAAACATTGGTTGCAATATCCCCAATCCATGAAAGTGAGCCTGAGGAAGCACCCATAGTTGCAGCCGACTTTTTACTAACATTTCCACAATCGTACCAGAGTAGGCAAATCGCAGGACTTAGCATCAGGTCCACAGGTAGATCTGAATCGCGCTCCACAACTTGCACTCCTCCTTTTTCCATTCCCAACACCTTCTGGTATGTACTTCTTCTGGATATGATCATCTCCTTATCAACAGATTTTGTGTTCACTACAATCACACCTCTTTGTTCAGAGAGAACTCCCTGTTCAGTTATCCCACTTTTTCTTCCAGATTCTTGAGGCATGAAGACAAATTCAGATTCCTTGGTAGTTTCTGAAGATCCTGCGGAACACGCGCTTTCAAGGGGAACAAAGTTCAACACTTCTTCCAACCACCCAGTTTTCGTCTCAAATTCGTCTCCCTACAACATATATTAATGTTCAGTAATATGTTTTTGGACACCAATGCATATTCTGGAACATGTATATTTAAACAAAGTTCAAATATATGCAGTTATGGAAGAAGTGTGGAGACAGAACAATTTTAGTTTGAAGTCCATACTAGTGTTAAAACTTGTATAAATTTCAGACTCGCAAAACCAATCAAGACCATGTGCTCATGAAAACCTTATTTGTGATATAGATTGTTCCTCTGCTCTGGATTAGATCCCTTCCCCCATTCGACCATATTATACAACCTACGACATATATGTAATCTTTATTGTAGCAAAAGGTTGAAAGTTGACTGCTGCTCACCTTTATCATATTGATACTATAAGGTTCTGCAACACCTGCGGAGAGTTGACCACACGCACTGGACATATCCAGCTCCACTTTTATGAAATGGAAGCAAGGAAAGAAATCCATCTTTGAAGGAGAAGAGACTCTGGGCGAGGCATTTGGACCTCCATATTCTACAATGACGCTGAAATTCTGCAGAGGAAAAGATGGAGAAATGTTCCTAAAATAAGAAAAGGAAGAACTAGTTAGCTAGCTTAACTTTTCACCAAAAACAGTTGAGCCAAGAAATGTTGAACAAGAATAGATAAAGGTATGTTTCTTAGCATGCAAAGAACTAAAAAAGTAGCAACTCCTCGAGGAATGTCATCAGAAGGAACACCATTTAGTGGTCTCTCTCACAATCATCAAGCTAAAAGACTGTTGGTTTGCAGGCTACCGTTATCCATCAATTATTTGGTTCCCTTTCCAGTTCCCATAAAAATCAAGTTTCAAAGGCTATGATCATTGATAATGAGGATACTACTATTGCAATAAATAATACTCACTCGTAAGAGACAAGGAAACAGTCTGAAGTCGGCAGGAAACCAAGATCTGTAGATTTAAACTCCGTTGTTTCATTAACATTCGGTTGATTTCCACTTGGGAACGGACTGTTGAGCTCATTGTACGATAACCCCATGGTCACCAATAGCCTCTTCAGCGAGGACCAGAAAACTTTATCAGCCACAAGTAACGCTTTGGAATTCCTCTGGACAAATTCTGACTGTAAAATCCCCTGGATAACAGCGAAGGCTGGATGCGATCTTGTGATGTCTGTCTCAGTTGACATGTGTTCTGATTCAACTGATGAATAGAGCGTGTGCAATCCTAGCTTCATGGGATTCGAGCTCCGACGTAACTTGTTCAGATAGAGATATGCCACATGGATACCAAAGAAACACATATACCATGTCATATGTTTAATCGCTATTAGTAACGCAAACGTGAAAGTCTTATCATCCGCCAACTGTGTGTTGTGGACGTTTGCTTTTCTTATGCAGTCGATAAGCTTTCCTTTCGATATGCTGAGTAATTTATGTTTATCTTCTGATAAAGATGAGATCAACTCTGGTTCATCCTTCACAAGAGTTAAATAGCTCTTCTCAAAGTCCCTGACAAGGGCCAGAATAGTTTCTGATGGGCGCACACTGTGAAGTATCAGATCCTCTGTCTTCGGGTTTGGGTGCATGCCACCAGATATACATGAAGACTTCGAGTCAATAGAATTAGTCTTATGGTTGGCAGTCTTAGCAGCTTCGACTCTAGACTCGAGATTCTCTTCCGTCACAGCCTTCTTAGGATCCATGAAAAAGCTTAAGTCATCAAAAGCAGACATTGATTTGAACAACAGCGCAGCCTTCTTAGCATTATCATCCCCTCCACAATCCTCGGCTCCTGTTTGAGGAAAAGGGTTTTCCAATAACCCATGGGAAGTATTAACATGAGGATGCTCATCAAGTGTAGATATACCATAGACAGGTTCAGTGCATCTCTCTACAAGTGGCTCGCAAAAAGCATCTTCAGAGAAAACGAAATCATAAACCCATTTGTCTCCTTCTATAGGTTCCAAATTATAATCAATGATGCATGTAACTATTTCTTCAGACGGATAATCACAGAAAGTGGCTTCATGGTTGTGCTTTGTTTCCTCAAGAAGGTTCCAGGGCAAGTATATGTCATTTGATGCAGACAAGGATTGAGGCTTGATCTTCGACAAAACATCCGCATAAATGACTTCCAGGGATCTTGTCAGCTCATAATCATATAAAAGAGGTGTAGGCATAGACTTGAAGGCATCATCTGTGAAGGCAAGTTCAGAACTGACAACTAATTCATCGAAGTCCTTGAAGTTCATCTCTTCACTGAACATCCCGGAACATTTTTCTGGTTCAATGGCTTTCTCAAGACAAAGGAAGATATCAAAAACATCAGATATCTCCACATCCAGAATCTGAAATTCCTCAAAAGTTACCGGGACCGTGGTAAAGTCATAATCAACAGCCACCTTTCCCTGTTCAAACTGAAAGTTTTCCTCATAGCTTGATATTTCCAGGATATTCACTATATCAGATTGGACACTCTTGTTAGAATAGCAATCCGTAGAGAGGATATCCAATAGATCATAATCCATAGAGCCTATAAGCTCCTTTGAGTTGATAACGAGAGAACCCTCTGCATTCGTGTCTTGGGGTTCAATTGTTTCAAGAACAGTAAATACTTTATCAAGCATAGATAAGCTTGGCAATACGCTCAAGTTTTCTTCATCCACTTCTAGAAGGGGAAATCTGGCATCTCTGAACCACGGTCGATTCTTGCGGGAGCAATCATCTTCTGTTACCGAAGTATTGTTCTCTGTGAAGTAATCAGAAGAAATGTAATCAACAGAATAAATCTTTTGTTGGATGTCATGTGAATTCTGCAGGATAACATCTGACTCCTCAAATTTAACCTGCAATAAGAAGACTGGCTAAAATCAGAATCAGCTTACCAAGTCCAGAAAGTTGATGGAGATGCAAGATTCAGAATCAGCTTAACAAGTCCAGAAAGCTAAGATAATGGTTCACGCATGCTGCTAATAGAATTTTCCATGATAAAACCAGTACTACCATTTTAGAGCAAAAGCAAAACTGCATGAGAGCTTTAAACTTTTGACTTGTACTGAAATCAACTCAGGGATTTACCGGCTCATTTTCGATCTCTAGAACTTCAGAGAAACATTGGAGATCCTCTAACTTGGATGAGAGATTCTCCTCCTGTATGTTAAAAAGATACTCAATCTCCCAACGAAAAAGAAATCGTTGAACTGTGGTACATGTTTACACAAATGAGCAAATACCATTTCGAAATCCACCAACTCCGGAGTCTCCATCTGGATAATGTTAAAATTTAGTGTAGCTTTCTCCTCAAGGGCATCTCCATCATTCTTCTGCAATGGAATCAAAATTTAGGTTAATCAAACTCCATTCAGATTACAGTAAGCTAGCAGAATCTCCACCTCAGGTATGAATGTTGAGAGCAAACAAACAATCTTCAGTATCAGAATAAGGCGAAGACTGAACCGAAAATCCATGAAATTAGGAAAATCTAAAACCATTTTCAGTATAAGAAACCAAGGCCCATTGAAAGACACAGTCATATACACATTACACGGCGAGATTCAACAGAAACTGTGCCGTTCATATCATGATTCCAGAGAAATGGCAGAAACGAACTCTCAAGAGATTCAAAATTTCACCTCGAGGAACTGAGGATCTTCGCACCCAAAGAGCTTAAGCTTGTCTCCGAGGGAAGAGCCATCCATTTCGAAAGCTCCATAGTTCACACTGACGCGATCGGGAACCACGTCGGAGAGGAACTTCGACAAAGCAGGTTCAATAGGCAAATTCTCGATCGGGAGACAGAAATCTTCAACAGGTCCAAATCGAAGAAGGTCATCTTCCCGGTCGCGGAAGAGAGGTGCCGGGAAATTATCAGGAGCTTGAAGATGGAGGAATCCTAGGGTTTCATATACTAGAGAAGGTGGAGTAGAGAAGTAATCGATATTGAGGAATCGACCTCGCATCGTACTCTTTCCAGATTCGTCTTGGATGTGCGAGTGTGACGGAGATGATGAAGAAGAAGGAACGAATTTGAAATTGGCGCTTATCGATTTTAGGAAATAATAAAGAATCTTCAACGATTTGAAATGAGGAGAGAAGAAGAGTCGTCGGAAAGAGACTGAACCAACAACGCTCACCACATGTCGTCGTCTTTCACTTTCGTGTAAGCACGATCTGTCGTTTTTTTTATTTTAAAACAGCACGCATTGAGAATTCAAATAGTTTTTTGTAAAATTTTGAAAAGCGCCGTGGACCGACTCTGGTTTCACACCAACTTCAGATTTTGAATGAGAATAATGTGCCGTTTATCATATTCAAAACAGCACACAGTGCATATGTAAAATAGCCAATAAACGTGAACCGACAATTAATAGAAATTGTTAAATCGACAGGCGTCTATTTTAAGATAGGATATAGATTATTGCCAAGTTAGCCACGTACAGAGCAAACGTCTGAAACGTGGCAGGACGTAACGAACACATCGCACGTGTCAGAATCCTACAGAAGTAAAGAGGCGCAAGCTAGAGCAAGGTGGTTCGGCCATATGTCATCGTCTTCTCTCAGTGTCACTCTATAAAAAACCTTTTCATGCTTCTTCAGAGAAATGCCAAGACAAAAACAAGCAATACACAAAAATAGAGAGTTGGAAAAAAGAAAGGAAAAACAGAGCTTTGGAAAATGGATATGCAATCGCAGATGACACGTCCTTATGGTCATGATCAAGCAGAGGATCCAATCAGAATTCACCATCCAGGTAATACATATATAACGCAAGTAGATTTTTAATTTTAGAAACTTGTTTGCCTAATCTATGTTATCTCGGGGTACAGAAGAAGAAGAGCATCAAGAGAAAGGAGCAACTAAAGTGTTGAAGAAAGTGAAGGAAAAAGCAAAGAAGATCAAGAACAGTCTAACTAAACACGGCCATGGTCATGAACACAATTACGATGTGGAGGAAGAAGATGATGAATACGACGAGCAAGACCCAGAAGTGCACGGCGCACCAGGTTTGTCCTTTTCCTTCAACTTGTGAATCTGTTTCAAAATTTTTTTTTTTTGTGACGTTAACTGTTTATAATTATGTTCAGTGTATGAATCTTCCGCCGTGAGAGGCGGTGTAACGGGTCAACCCGGAGAGACTAATGTTCCGGCACCGGATGAGGTCATTCCACCAGGGACACAAGTTTTCCCGGGTCAACCCGGAGAAACTAATGTTCGGGCACCGGTCGAGATCATTCCGCCGGGGACAAGAGTTTTTCCGGTAGTGTCTTCCGATCAAACCGAACCCATTGAACCTGAACCATTACAGGAAGCCTCTTACAGACATGAAGCACCGTCTCATCCTGTAAGAATGTCAGATAGGGAGGAGAGAAGAGAGGCAACGACTCATCCTCTAGGTGTGCCCGATCTCTCGGACAGAGGAGAGAGCAGAGAGGCTCACCAGATGGCAATGAACACTCCTGTGTCTCTACTCTCAGCAACAGAGGATGTGACGAGGACGTTTGCTCCTGGTGAAGACGAGTATCTCGGTGGTCAACGGAAAGTCAACGTCGAGAGGCCTAGAGGGTTGGAGGAAGATCCGGCTGCTCCGGGACGAGGGGCGGATTATCTAAGTGGTGTATCTAATTATCAGACTAAAGTTACTGATCCATCCCATAAAGGTAAGAACTTTGATGGAGATTTAATTATGAACTTATAATAGTATGTTTTTAGAGTTTATGAAACTGTTAACTTTCGACTGTTTTTGATTAATCTAGGAGGTGGAGAAGCTGGGATACCAGAGATTGCTGAGTCTCTGGGTAGGATGAAAGTGACGGATGAGTCGCATGTTAAGAAATCGGGACGAGATTTTGAGAGAGATTTTCCGACAAGAAGCCATGATTTTGGTCTGAAGAACGAAACTGGAACCGGAAGAGATTCTCCGGCGGGATTTGGAGGGGAATCAGGAGGTGGGATAGGGAAAGATTTTCCGACGAGAAGCCATGAGTTTGATCAGAAGAAGGATTCTGGAATTGATAAGAATTGGCAGACGGTATTAACAAGCGGTTCAATCGCTGGGCTGGGTGAAGATTTCCCGGCGAGAAGTGATGATGTGAAAGTAGAAACTGGGTTTGGAAGAGATTTGCCGACGAAGGGAAGCCATGGATATGGCGAGGAAACCGGACCTGGACTGGAGAAGAATATTCCGGCGAGATATGACGATGTGAAAGTAGAAACTGTGTTACCAACGGGGTCTCATGACCAATTCTCACCGGAACTCTCTCGTCCCAAAGAGAGAATCGATTTCGATTCGAGCTCTGAGGAGACGAGAGATGAGACGCATGAGTCGAAACCCAGCACCTACACAGAGAAGATCGGTTCAGCGACGTCGTTCGTAGCCGACAAAGCCATAGCTGCGAAGAACGCCGTCGCGTCAAAGCTAGGTTACACCGGAGAAACCACTGGCGCAGGCGGGAAACTCGAGAGGCCCTTGGGAGACGAAACCCTGAAATTCTCCTCCGGACAACACGAGAGCCCTGATGTAGATAAAACTCCGAGATCAGCCACGGGTTATGGGCAGAAAGTGGCGAGAAGTGTTACCGAGAAGCTGACTCCGGTCTACGAAAAAGTCAAAGAAACAGGATCGAACGTGATGACGAAACTGCCCCTTTCGGGAGGTGGGAGTGGAACAGAGGAGACGCAACAAGTGGAAGACAAAAGTGTGTCCCCTAGAAATTATCTGGCGGATAAGCTGAGACCTGGAGAAGAAGACAAGGCTTTGTCTGAGGTGATCGCTGAGAAACTTCACCTTGGAGGAGGAGGAGAGAAAAAGAAGACAACGACCAAGGAGGTGGAAGTGACGGTGGAGAAGATCCCTTCTGACCAAATGTCAGATGAGAGAGGACACGATGTGGTGATTGTGGAGGAAGGAAAAGGAGGAGGAGGAGGAATGATGGGGAAGGTTAAAGGAGCGGTTACTTCTTTGTTCGGTGGTTCGACCGAAGAGGTGAGGCCGAAGTCTTCAGTCTCTGGTGAAGAGTCTACACAATCACTTGGCTCTACCGTTGGTAAGAAAACTCCCTCGTCTTTTTTAAGTTTTTGTGTTTAGAAAAATGTGTGATTTTTACACATTGTTTGTTGCAATCTTTTAGGGACAATGGGATTTTCAGATCCGGTTGGAGCTATATCGACACAGAGGGGACTTCAAGAATCTGGTAACTGAGATTTGGGTTTTTAGCTTTTGTATGCGTCTTAAAGTGTGTTGTTGTTGTTGATTCCTTTTTTTGTGTGTAATTCCGATGTATTTTGATGTAATCTTCCTTTTGTGTAAAAACTAAATAATCTTTTTGGGGTAATACAATATGTACCAATATCTGCCTTGGATTTCGAAAAGAGTTCCTTGCCAAATGTGCGGGAGTCTAAATGGTCACATAATCTAAAATGGAATTGGCGAGGCGAAAAATAATGATGTTACGCATTTGAATTTAAATGGTAACATAATCTAAAATGGAATCGGCCAGGCGAAAAATAACAAAAAATAATGATGTTACGCATTTGAATTGGAATTGGTGGAATTGGAAAGTATCTTGAAGTGGGGAACTGAGATTTGGTTTCTGCTTTTGTTCGGTTTTTTAAGTGTGTTTTTGTTTTTTTTTTGGTTGAAGATGAAGTGTGTTTTTGTTGATCCTTTTTTTTTTTAAAAAAATGTATTTTTGATGTGATTATTAGAATGTGCTCTGAATGTTCTGTGTTATTGATCCCAAAGATACGAGTTACATTATATAGGTATTAGTGTATTAGTGTACGTTAAACCTAATAGGAAAAAAGGAAACAGATATTCATGAATAAGTAACAATGTATATCTTCTATATTCTCGTATCATCTGCGTGTGGAGATCGCGAACACCCATCTTACCGATTCTTTTGCGTGGTATGTTTAATGAGTTAAGCTGCCTGCTTCTACAGCATAATGCACACGATGTATAAAAAAAAATTGAAGGTCAAAGAAGGAAAAGAAATGGAATATGACCAATATGATGGAGAGATAGAATATATACAAAATGTAAAATATGTATTTTAAATTTTATAGAACAAATTGTAGAATCTATTGAAACTGAAGAATATGTATTTTAAATTTTGTAGAACATGTACGAGGTATATTTTAATTTTTTAAAAAAATAGATTTGAAATTTAGAATACATATTTTCAAATTAATAGAACAAATTTTTTTTTTAATTAATTTTGAAAAATTAAAGATTAATTTGTTTGCATTTTTTGAGTTTTCTATATTTTTGTTTGTAAATATAATTTCTTAAATATTTAAATTAATTGGGTGAGTTTAATTTAGTCAAAATATCAAAAAAATAAAATAATTAAAGATATAATTTCTCAAATCCATAATCAAAATGTCCTTTTTTCCAATTTTCCCTACATTTTATGTAATTACTGCCCTCCAAATGATGGCATTAAACCCTTAAACCATTTGCTAAATCCGAAGGGTGACTTTGGTGAGTATTGACGGCGAGAACAAAGCTTTGTCGATTCTGATAATAACTTCTGATAATCCATCCATTCAGAAGCAAAGTGGGAATATAGTTGTCGACAAACGTTTCATAGTTGTCTTCTGAGTCAAGCTTCCACTGAACTTGACAGGTATTTTTTTTTTTTTAGGGTTTTGTCACTCAGACATTTATGGTTTTTGTCTGTCTGTGTGGCTTTGTTTTTTACTTGGTACTACAACTTCGTTTCAGGGTCGGAAGAAGGGAAGACAAAATCCTCATCACCTTGCAAAAGTATGGACAGAATCAATGAGTTGTCTGATCACTTGCTAGTTAAGATATTATCGTTTGTTCCAACGAAAGTGTCTGTATCCACTAGCATTCTGTCTAAGCGATGGGAGTTTCTCTGGATGTGGGTGCCTAAGCTCGAATACATTGATTACGAAGACGTTACTGATTTTTCTCAGTCTCATTACGAAGACGTTATTGATTTTTGTTGATTTTTCTCAGCCTCATTACGAAGATGTTATTGATTTTTCTCAGTCTCATTACGAAGACGTTACTGGTTCTTCTCAGCCTTCAATCCTAAGGTATCGAGATTTTATTAACCAGAACCTGCCTTTACATAAAGCTCCCATCATAGAAAGCTTGCGCCTCAGATTTCTTTCTGCATTATTCCGACATGCGGATCTCAACCTATGGGTTGAAATTGCAGTCTCTCGCTGCGTCCGGGAGCTAGAGCTATGTATTGACCATGATTCAGTATTGCCGAATAGTTTATATACCTGCAAATCGCTAGTGACTTTGAAGCTTCAAGGGAAGAATGTTCTTGTGGATGTCCCTGGAACGGTTTGTCTCCCTTCTTTGAAAACCTTGGAACTTAAACGGGTGGCATACTTCAATGAAGACTCTCTTCGACTGCTTCTATCATGTTGCCCTGTTCTGGAAGATCTGGTGATCTTTCGAGATGATGAGCCTGACAATTTGAAAGTGTTAGTTGTTACTGTCCCGTCCTTGCAGAGATTATGGATAATCAATTCTTGTTCTTCTGGTGATTGTGTGATAGATACCCCTTCTTTGAAGTATTTTGAAGTTGAGGACCACAGAGACAGTTTCTCCTATTCGATTAAGCATATGACAAAGTTGGAAGAGGCATACATTTCTGTTAAGAAAGTCTCCACGAGTTTCTCGGATCAATCACATCTGTCAAACGTCTTTCATTATCATTGCCAGCTTGTTTCAACTATGAAGAAGAAGAGGTAATCTGTTCTCAATCGTATATTAGAACACTAAATCAGGATTTCTTGAGAATGAATCCTTTGTTATTACTTTGTCTTGCGTGCAGGCTATGTACCATGCTGGTATTGTCTTCGATCAGCTTGAACATCTGAAGCTAAGTGTAATGAAGAATGATTGGTCGAAGTTACTTTTCAGGTTGCTCAATGATTCTCCTAAACTGCAAGTCCTTAGTCTCTCCGTCTTTGTAAGTTTCTTCCAAGCCTCTTTCCCGGATTAAAAGCTTTTAATCTTACTAAACTCTTTTCTTTTTTTAATGTCAGGGATTTTTTGTCGACCAAGAACAGATTAGCTGGAGTATTGAACAGAGTTCGATTCCTAAATGTTTGTTGAAGAGTTTTGAAACTTTCGAGTTTAGAGGGTACTATAAGGGAGGATTAGAAGAGAGAGATATCTTGAGTTTTCTCTTCAAACATGACGTTATGTTCAGAAGTCTTGAGACTCTTTGTAATCATTACTTTTCAGGTTGCTTGAAGTTATAGTAACAGAGAATATTTCCATATGACGTTATGTTCCACAAGGAGAGACTTGAAAATGATCAAAGAGTCGTTATGTTTGTTTTGCTGTCCAAGAATTTGGTATTTAACTAAACTTGCTTTCGAAAAAAAACAAATCAACGAGTTCTTTGGGAATACCTAGCTCAACCGTGTAATTCAAGTAATAGATTATTTGGGAACAGCTTTTTGTGTTCAAACTCGAGAGAATTAGAAGACAAGGGAGAACGATAAAACTCGTTCTTATTAATTATACAAAAAACTGTGTGACACCCGATCCCGGTAAATATAAACCGAACCGGCAATGTCAAGATAACCGTCTGTGCCATAAAGCCAAACGCATTATTCACTTTACAAGTCTCAGAAACCGATGGCGCCTTGCTTGACAAACAATTCCACACCACCTGCGATACTGAGCATCCTGACTCACCTAACCTACTAGAGGGGATCAAGAGAGAGAAGATAGGGGACTGGAGGGGTGAGTAATTTAGATTATCCAGGAGAATAAACCTACACTATCCTATCAATGCACCACAACTTAACAAACGCTAAGTTCAAGCATAAAACAGCACCATAGAAAGTCCTAAAGACTTCACACAATAACCAAGCGTCACAGGTAACAACACTGCGAATATCCGGACTACCCAATGATGACTTACACCGTGGCACTTGGGTTGCATCCTCCGTAGATTTATACTCGCTACACGACTAGCCCGTCGGCCATGCCTTGAGAGCGCTACGTATAGCCATTACTTCCATACCACATGAGTATACGCTGAACCCTTATGAACAGCCCCATGTGATGTCAGGTCCCTCAGTACCCCCTCGCATATTGCCCACGTGGCTCAGCGACTATCATCAACTTCAGCGTATCGATTGCAGCCCCAGGCATTGCAAATCTCAACCATCCATCTCGGACCCCAAACAATAGTCCTCCACTCAAGTATATCGACCACGGCTCTTTTGCCTTATGATCTCAACTCTCATCTCAGACATTTCACAACACATAGTCTCAATAATGATTTCACGCAATACCGTATTAAGTTCCTATCCTCTTTACAAGTTCTAGGCGATCATACAATTACAGAAGAGATCCAAACAGCAATCAAACAAGCAAAGTGTTTCAAGCACAAGTAAATGTTCGTTTTAAGTTTCCTGCAACTTCAGTTTTTAAACCCTAAACACATCTAGGCGATCACAGAGCAAACAACAACCTAATATGACCTAGATGGGACTCAGTTCTAAAGCAGAAAGTAGGTTATGCTTGGTTTAACCCCAAACTATGCATTCAGGAAAGCAGAGTTCACGATATTCAAGCACAGATTCATCCTCACCTTGGCCTAGGTGGCGAAGGAGGTGGCGAGGGGAGGTAAGGAGAAGAGAAGGAGGCGAGATGCTCCACGGCGACTAACCATGCAGGGTTGATCGATCTCTGGGGGTGATGCTGTGGCGGCGTGTGACTCCGGGAGGAATCCGGCTCCTCATCAACGTGAAACACCGGGGCAGGGCGGCTGGAAGGGGCGGCTACGGGTCCATCCCGAAGGTAGTGGACTCGCGGCTGCTCCACCGCGCCGGCGGACGATGATGGCTGCTCTGGGGAGCGGCTAGGGCGGTCACCAGAGGGCGGGGATGATGAACGGTGTGACATGGTGAAGAGAGAGAGGATGCGGCGATGAGAGAGAAAGAAAAAGGAGAGAGAGACGGCAGAGAGAGAGTACTACGGCGCCGGAAAGAGAGAGAAGAGAGTTCTAGGGTTTCTCTGTTCTCTGGAAAGTTTCGAATGAAGAAAAAGAATGGGAAGGGCTCTCTATTTATACCCAATGGGAGACTTGGGTAAAAAGTAAAGATAACCACGAAAAAGGAAAGGATAATTATGAATAAGAATATTCACAATTCATTTAGGAAAAAGTTCATTAATATCACATTAAAAATATAATATTTATCTAAACCAGAAATTAATTATCTCTCGAAAGAAAAAGGAAATATCGAGATATAGAAAATGAGCTTAAACCGTCTTAGTTGGGATTGAATTTTCCAAACGGGCCTGGTTTGTAAAGCCGGGTCGTTACAATTCTCCCTTCCTTAACGAGAATTCGTCCCGAATTCTAAGGCATGAACCTCCACGGCCGGCGTAAGGCGATGAGGAAGATTTGGAAGTCATACCAAAGAAGGCTAAATCGAAATGTTCATAGAACGGAAGACTCGGGAAGCAATCATTTCTAAGCAAGCAAAACTTTTTATTAAATTAAATCAAGCAATCAATCAACATAGAATAAGGCTCTTAAATCTAATGCATAAATTAAAAACTAAGTTAATTTCTAAAATGTAAAATGAATTCCCCCTCCAATATCCCAAAAGCGCAGCTCTAATCTAGATAGTCTTCAAGCAGCTTCTCCTAGCTACATCTCGGGTCGAAGTCATCGTCGCCGGGGACCTCGCATTCAGACGGGTCTGACTCATAGTCACCCTCTTCCTGCTGCCTCCGTTCCTCCTCGATATCCTGCTCCACCAACCGAGCCAGGTTAGTGACTTGGCTGATGCCCCAAACGAGTCCGTCTTCCTCAGGATAAGGTACACTCCCGCGGATTTCCGGTCTCAGCCCTTCTCGGTTGCTATTGCTGCATGAAGAGTACAACAGATTTCTCTGCCACTCTCATTCAGGTCCCGAAAGAAGGCCCTTTTGTTCTGCTCCACAGAACGTCCACCCTGGGTTGTCCGGGGGTAAGGCAGCTGAACATCCGGCCTAACATATGGCGCGGGGTTCTTGCGGGGGCGTCCGCGCTTACGTGTTGGCTGGGCCTGTTGGACCATCACTCTACTAGAAGAGGATCGACATGTGCCCCGAGCTTGTACAGCTTCGAGCACATCATTCGCTAGCACAGCACAGGCGTTCACCTCCTCCTGAGTGGGCATCCGAGCGGGTCGGGCGAGTCTAGCAGGAACCATGTGGATCGGAGTGGTCCGTTTCCGGGCTGTCTCGCGGGTATGAGCCCTGTTTGGCACGGGAAAGAAAAAGCTAAGAGTCAGATGTCAAGTATGCATAGGTGTTAGTCATAACAGTTGTAAAGCAAGTCAAGTGCGCACAAAGGTTTCGCAAACACTAAAACTTTCTAGGACTGACCCTCCGGGATAAAACCGAAGAGTCTTAACCTTGGCTCTGATACCAAACTTGTAACACCTGATCCCGATAAATATAAACCGAACCGGCAATGTCAAGATAACCGTCTGCGCCATAAAGCCAAACGCATTATCCACTTTACAAGTCCCAGAAACCGAAGGCGCCTTGCTTGACAAACAACTCCACACCACCTGCGATACTGAGCATCCTGACTCACCTAACCTGCTAGAGGGGGTCGAGAGAGAGAAGATATGAGACTGGAGGGGTGAGTAATTTAGATTACCTAGGAGAATGAACCTACACTATCCTATCAATGCACCACAACTTAACAAACGCTAAGTTCAAGCCTAAAACAGCACCATAGAAAGTCCTAAAGACTTCACACAATAACCTAGCGTCACAGGTAACGCCACTGCAAATACCCAGACCACACAATGATGACTTACACCGTGGCACTTGGGTTGCATCCTCCGTAGATTTATAGTCGCTACACGACTAGCCCGTCGACCATGCCTTGAGAGCGCTACGTATAGCCATTACTCCCATACCACATGAGTATACGCTGAACCCTTATGAACAGCCCCATGTGATGCCAGGTCCCTCAGTACCCCCTCGCATATTGCCCACGTGGCTCAGCGACTATCCTCAACTTCAGCATATCGATTGCAGCCCCAGGCATTGCAAATCTCAACCATCCATCTCGGACCCCAAACAATAGTCCTCCACTCAAGTATATCGACCATGGCTCCTTTGCCTTATGATCTCAACTCTCATCTCAGACATTTCACAACACATAGTCTCAATAATGATTTCACGCAATACCGTATTAAGTTCCTATCCTCTTTACAAGTTCTAGACGATCACACAATCACAGAAGAGATCCAAACAACAATCAAACAACCAAAGTGTTTCAAGCACAAGTAAAGGTTCGTATTAAGTCTCCTGCAACTTCAGTTTTAAAACTTTAAACACATCTAGGCGATCACAGAGCAAACAACAACCTAATATGACCTAGCTGAGACTCAGTTCTAAAGCAGAAAGTAGGTTATGCTTGGTTTAACCCCAAACTATGCATTCAGGAAAGCAGAGTTCACGACATTCAAGCACAGATTCATCCTCACCTTGGCCTAGGTGGCGAAGGAGGTGGCGAGGGGAGGTAAGGAGAAGAGAAGGAGGCGAGATGCTCCACGGCGGCTAACCACGCAGGGTTGATCGATCTCCGGGGGTGATGCTGCGGCGGCGTGTGACTCCGGGAGGAATCCGGCTCCTCATCAACGTGAAACACCAGGGTAGGGCGGCTGGAAGGGTCCATCCACCACGGGTCCATCCCGAAGGTAGTGGACTCGCGGCTGCTCCACCGCACCGGCGGACGATGATGGCTGCTCCGGGGAGCGGCTAGGGCGGTCACCAGAGGGCGGTCACCAGAGGGCGGGGATGATGAACGGCGTGACATGGTAAAGAGAGAGAGGATGCGGCAAAGAGAGAGAAAGAAAAAGGAGAGAGAGACGGCTGAGAGAGAGTACTACGGCGCCGAAAAGAGAGAGAAGAGAGTTCTAGGGTTTTTCTGTTCTCTGGAAAGTTTAGAATGAAGAAAAAGAATGTGAATAGCTCTCTATTTATACCCAATGGAAGACTTGGGTAAAAAGTAAAGATAACCACGAAAAAGAAAAGGATAATTATGAATAAGAATATTCACAATTCATTTAAGAAAATGTTCATTAATATCACATTAAAAAATATAATATTTATCTAAACCAGGAATTAATTATCTCTCGAAAGAAAAAGAAAATATCGAGAAATAGAAAATGGACTTAAACCGTCTTAGTTGAGATTGAATTTTCCAAACGGGTCTGGTTTGTAAAGCCAG